TAGAGAGAGCGGGAAGGGCGAGATGAGGGAGACACACAGCACGAGTACTCGTACTCGGCCACAGCAAAAACACACGGACGTCATAGGTAGGTAGAGGGCGGGCTGGCTGGCTTGACTGGCGCGAAAAGGGTAAGGAGGGTATGGAGGGAGGGACGACGACAGCTGCTCTATGGCCGACCCGGCCTCGCACCGCGTCCTGGCGAAGCGTCGCACGGCGCCAGAGCCCAAGGTCGGCCACACGTGGCAGCAGTGCGCTCAGTCATCCCGAACCCGGGGCCACGGCGAGAGGAGAAGGGGTTGCTGGGGCCCCCCTCCCCGCAGCTCGCGAGCGCGCGCGCGCCCCCTTCCGCGAACCCGCCTGCGTCAGACGCTTGGCTTTGGCGTGTGGGCAGGGCGTGCGCGTGTGCGAGCCCTACTGTACCGACCTACAGGGGTGGGTGCTGTGTGCGTGCGTTGCGTGCGGGCGTGCGTGTGGCCGTGTGGGTGAGGGAGAATGAGTAACAACAGCTGCAGCACCTACATACATACCTGGTAATGTGTAGCGAAAGGGAGAGATACCTAGGAGTAGAGCGCGAGAGCCTCTACTGCTGCTGGGGAGTGAGTGAGGTAACAACTTCTCTCGTCGCGCGGGCTGCTCCTTGCTTTGCTTGATTGCCTGCGTGCTTGCTTGCTTGCTTGCTTTCTTCCATGCTTCCCCCCTCGCTCGCTCGCTACCCTCCATCCACCAGGGCCGAGGCAGCTCGCATTCGCATCACACACGAGCGCGCGGCTTGCCCGACGTCGCGACGGCGGCCCATCCTCCAGCTAGGTCTGTAGTAGCTAGCTAGCCAGCCAGCCAGCCAGCCAGCCCAGCCCGCCAGCCCGCCAGCCCGCGCCCTCGCCAGGCAGACAGGCACGACAGGGCAGGCAAGCACCGCCTCGCAACGCAGCGCAACGCAACGCAATGCGGGAAACGCCGTCGTCGTCGTCGTCGCCGTCGCCGCCGCCAGAGGGGAAGGGAGCGGGGGCCTCGACAAAGAGGGTCTCGATGGAGAGATCCAGCCCGCGCGCCCCCATGGGTCGAGGTGGGGGTACATACGTACGCAATGGCGGGCAGCATGGGCAAGGCAGACAGGCACCCATCACGACGAGCTAGCTAGTCAGGTCGCCAGTATCAGTATCAGTACGAGTAGTTCATCAGGCGATCCAGGCGTTCTGGGCCGCTGCCGCTGCCGCTGCCGCTGCCGCTAGGGGTAGGTACCGCCAACTACCGCTGCCGTCACCACCGTCTATCGTCGTCGTGGGGCCTGCTGAAAGAAGCCCGCGCGCGCGCGCATCATGCGGATCCGCGCTATACTACTATCTACCTACTGCGGACGCCCGGACGCCACCGGAAGAAGGAAGAGGAAGCCAACACGTCTCTTTCTCTCTCAGCGCGCGCCCTTGTGCGCCGGGGTGCAGGTGCGGTTGGCGGCTGGCTGGCGGATGGCGGATTGCGGTGGCGGTGGCGGCGACAGTCGCGCGACGGAGGGAAGCGGTACCTAGGCGGGCAGGTCGTGGTGGGTTGACTGGCTGGCATCCCATCAATCATTCATCATTCAACAAGTCGGGACGTCTGGACGGAATACCTACCTGTAACCTACCGTATCGCAAGCAGCCCTCGTTCACTGGCCACTAGGTAGTTACTGCAGCTCCGAGCAGCAGCTGTAAGGCTGGCGAATGGGCTTCTACGCCCCAAATCGGGCTAGGGTTGCGAGGTGTTCTTGGCCCCCAAACAATCCCATTCCGCCCTGGCCCTGTCACTGTCACTGTCACTTTTTCCTTCATCTCCAATCCAATTCATCTCCTGCTGCTGCTGCTGCTGCTGCCCACGTCGGCCAAGCCAAGGTAAGGTAAGGTCGACGTAGGAGTACGAGTACGCTCACCCGCCCTCGCCGCGCTGCCCGCCGCCCGCCGCTTCCCCCCCAAGCCTCGACTCTAGCGATGGTGATGGTGACATAGGCCATTGTACCCTTTTGGAGCTAGCTACTTCATGTACGTACATCCCATCCCATCCGCGCACGCACGCATAATAAAACGCCACGCCTTGACGTCGCGTTTTCCCGCGCGAGATAATTACCCACCTAGGCAGTTAATTAGCCGAAGCGGCCGATGGTCGATGTTTGATTAGGTATCGATGCTCTCTCTCTCTCTCTCTCTACATCCGTACTCTCTATCTCTCTCACCCCCAAACCCCCCACCACCCAAGCCAACCAGCCAGCCAGGCAGCCACGCCAACCCAGCCCAGCCCAGCCGGCACCCGGCTCGTCGTGCTCCCGCTCTCCCGCAAAGTGACGGGTTTTTGGGCGGCCACTCCTCCGTATGGCGTACCTATGGGGGCGCGGGGGGGGAAATGCGCGCCTCCTTGTGTTCCCCCCCGGAAAGGGATGGGAGCGACGTGGCCAATCATGCGCGCGCGCCCGCCTTGCCCCCCCCCCTTCCCGGGCTTCTGTTTTTTCCCGAAAACGTGCGCGCGGGCATGGAGCGGCGGGGCGGTTCGTGGTAGCAGTGGTGGTGGTGGTTTGTGGTTGTGATAGCGGCGGCGGCGGTGGTGGACGTGGTGGTAGTGGGCAAGTGACCTCGTCGTGCCCCCCTTCCTGGCGCGCGCGCGCGCGGCACACAGGAATAAACAACCAGGTGTGTGTGTGATGTGTGATGTGGGATCGCGATAATTACCTGCCTACCTATTGTTTGTTTGTTTGTTTGTTTTTGGGGCCTGCCTGAGGACTCGAGCGAGTCGTCTCAGCCGCGCGTGTCACCAGGAGCCCAGTGCTGGCTTGACCGACCTGACTCTAGCTGTCGCGTCGTGCCGTGCCGCCGGCGGCACCAAGCACCAAGCACCAGTAGGTTGGTCGCTGGTCGCAATCGGTTGGGGCGATCTCGCTCGCTCGCTCGTGGCTCCCATGGAAGCGTCGTCGCAAGCAGCACGCAATGGAACAGAGCACGCAACTTCGGCGGCGATCCGGCTCCGCAAACACAACAACAATACCTAGCAACAAACATCCCATTACCGCCACCGCCCTGTATTCGTACCGTCTGCATGTCGCCAAGCCTCGTCGTCTGTCCACTCGCCCTCGTCGCCGCCCGCCCCCAATCCCTCTCACAAGTGACCCGCGCGCACCCTGTCCGTTTACCGCAAACCTGCACCGCCAACTCGAGGTTGGCATGGACGCCCTACGTACGACCTAAAACCCGACCGACACCCGCCCCGGCTCCGCGCGCGTGCGACTACGCTGCACTCTGCCCTGCACTCTGCGCGCGCATGCACTCCGCAAATACCCAGACACGCTGCTTTCCTGCCTGCCTGCCTGCCTGCCACCCCCCAGCAGTTTCCCAGCTCCCCCTACCTCCCTAGCTTGCTTCCCCCCAGCTCTACCTACCTACCTAGCGTCGCGGATCAGGTAACCTCGCAACGCACGCCCGCACGCACGCAAGCCCCCTCCCGCCCCGTCCGTCCGTCCGGCCAGCCAAGTGCTGCTGCTGGCTTCCAGACGCGTCGTCACTGTCTGGCTGGCTGCCGGGTACCCGCGGCCGCGCGCGCGAACGGGCAAAGAGACCTCGCACGGCATGGGGCGGCATGCACGCCCGCCCGTAGCGTGTGTGGAGCGCGCGCGTGGGCGCGTGGGCGCACACGGGCACGCGGGCACGCGCTGCCGCTTGTGCTTGTGCTGGTGGTGGTGGTGGCAGCCTTGAGCTTTGCCCAAGGTAGGCCGATGCTGCGGCGGGCGTGCGTACAATGTACCTAGCGTGTGCGCCCCGGCGGGGGGTCGGACGGACGGCAGGGTCGGGTGGTCGGAATTGGGGGGGGATGCTGCGCCTGCTGGAGCCGTGGCGGGCTTGGCGAACGGGTGGCGGAGGATGTGGGTTGGTGGATTAGTTGGTCGTTGGTTGAAGGGCGAGTGGGGAGGTACTAAGGCACAGAGGTGGGTTCCCACTTCCCAGCTGGGCGAGGCGGTGGGGAGGCGGGGGCGGAATGCGATGCGATACAAGGGGAGTCCGCGGTCTGGCCAAGAAAAAAAGAAAAAAAGCAAAACAAAATAAACGGAGCCAGAGAAGCAAGCAAGACGAAGGAAGGCAGAGAGGAAGCGGCTGTGCTACACCCTGCATATGGTGGCCGTCGTCGTCGTGGCCGCCTGACATGGATTGGAAGTGACCGTCTTTCTGCCTGGAAGGTCTGAGGCCTGTCTGCCTGCCTAGTTGCCTGGCGGCATGCGTCGCTGCTCAGCCTCGCAGGAGGAGAAGCCTCCCGCCTAGGGCGGTGGACGGCTCCACGGAACGTCGGCGACTGCGTACCTAGGTACATGGCTCTCTTCCTTCATTTCCTGTATCCGGCGACTTTGTGCGTGCGCACGCGTACGCCTGGCTGCTTGGTTGGCTGGATACCTGGCTGGTCTCCCCACTCCTAACATTGTTACTGCTGCTGCTGTTGGCGTTAGGGACTGTTGCTATTCCCAGCTACGCAGGTCTCGCGGTCGGTGTGTCTGTCATCCTCATTCCTGCACCCCCCCCTGCCCGCCCTCGAGCAGAGCCGCATGCTGCCGTTCAGCCCCACCATTGGTAGGTACGTGTACGCATGCCCATTGCCATAAAAATTCGGAGGTGAGACCTACCTAAGTACGAACAAGGCAGGCTCGGTGGGTGCCAGTCCCGTATGAAGCTTGGGAGTGGCAAGCGTAGGTTGTCGTAAGTGTGGAGGGATGGTCCGGAACTGGCTGGGCTCGGGTAGGTGTCGCCGGCTAGGACGGCAATGGCAGGAGCGAGGAGCAGGAGCAAGGTCGGGGGCAAGAACGAGAGCGAGAGTCAGAGCCCGCAAGAGCAGGAGTAATCGCGCAGATCGAACTGTGTGTCGTCCCTGTCTGCCTGACAGTGCTCTCTTGCGCCTGCCCAACCCAGTGCGACTTCTTCGCGGTTTATAATCTTGGATAGGTAGGCAGGTGCCATCGACCGCACTCTCACTAGAAGGTACCTACCTACCTACCTATAAACCCCCCCTCTTTTTCTCCCTTTTCCTTTCTTCCTCTCTCCTTCTCTCTTTTCTTACCTCTGGGCACGGCCATACCTAGCCAGATGTCTATCCGCGCCGCATTGCTTTAACAAAGCTCGTTCACGCAATCATTCTCACGGCTATAGAAAGCACCGAACTAAGGTTGGTTCTTCATTTCTGACGTGAGGTTTGAGGCTTGGCATGGGGAATTGGAGTCGGTTGTGAAAAATGAAGTGGGTTACCTGGATTATTCTTTGTGAGTAAGGAATTAGGACGATGAAAGGGGGTTATAGGTAGGTAGGTAGGTAGGTAGGTACCTAGAGTTGGTGTGCGAGAGACCGTGGGTGGATGATTCACTGTCCAACCAGTAACTTGTATATACCTACACGAATGGATGATTGCCTAGATAATTATTGATTGACTACCTACGTTAGGTACCTAGATAGATATTGACTGCTTACTGCTGTTAGGCTGTTATAATGATATTGACTGGACATAGTTCAAGTTTCTTTTTTCCGGCACACTGTCGACATCTGAAGCCCTTTGGCAGTAGCCTCTAATAAATACTAGGTATTTACTTTAACCAAGTAAAAGTTGATTAAGCCGCTTGATGAGCCCGGAGGTTTTGTATAACCATAGTCGAGACCTAACACTCTTATAAATAAACAATACAAGCATATCTTTACCTTATAAATGATTCCATGCCTGGCCGTGGGCTTGCGGTGTATACCTATGCAGCTGGGTAACTTTTGTAGTGTATAATACTATCCAAACCCATGAGGAACGTTGAAGATGATAAGACGACAGGCATACTTTCTATTGTAGCGCCCTGGGCGTTTAGTAAGCCTATATCAAAACCTACTGGAAACGGGGTCAACACGATTAAAAAGTAACACGTAGTTAAAGCAGTCTTCTTATAAAATACTTTATAGTCGGTTTTCGTAAACGGTTTTAGTATAGAGTTTAAAAAGAAGAAGAGGGGTTTTCTTCTAACACGAGTTTAAATATTAAAATAGTTCTTTACTTTTACCGTAGTTTTGTGCTTTAGATACGGCTCTTATAAAATAAATCTAGTTTAAACTAGAATATAGTATTATTCTTATAACTTAATTTTTTATATAGGTATCCTATTATCTTAAGTTTAGTAATAATTATTGAAATTAACTCTTAAATGGAACTTTATATTAAGTTGATTTTGTTAATAGATACGGATATGTAGTGAAGTACGAATAGCTAAGAAGTCACTTTCACTTTTCGCTCTTTTTACTTCTAAGATTATCCATCCGCATTGACACCGTATTCCGCGTTGGAAAGTCAAACCCGTGTTGAGAAAGCACACTGTGTTGAGGAAGCACACCGTGTTGAGAGAAAGCACACCGTGTTGAGGAAGCACACCGTGTTGAGAGAAAGCACACCGTGTTGAGGAAGCACACTATTTCCTGGGAATCTATTCCTTCCCCTAAAACCAAATAAACATTCTATTCTATTTATTCACTGTTTTAGCCCCGGTTATCAAAACCGCCCACAGCATGTTTTTCTAGAAATAACACATCCTTCCTAACCCGGTTTGACACAAAGTCGACTGGCTATTGTCGTAGTATCTAGCAAACCCTAGGGACGCTATAAGGTAACCCGCCGAATTGATGAGTAACCGTCACGAACTCACCAAGCACAGATACGTCGGCCACGCCATTGCTTATCAACCTTACCTCCTGTACCAGTGGCAGCAAGCTCTTAGGATTAGACACAGATGTTACGTTAGATGGCATATCACAGAAGCAGTGGGAATGTGAATGGCGAAGGGTATAAGGTATTATCGACCGTGGTCTTTGTTTGTTTTGATAGATGGACTGCCTACTTGATCGGGACAAAATGTATGCAGCCGAACGAGCCGTCATCTCCACGTTCCTTTCCTCTACGTTTGTTGTCGTGCTGGCGACGGTTCTCATTGCCCATGATCCGGAACGCCTGTTGCTAATTTTAAACACCCCCCCTCCAACTCGTGTCTTGCTCCTCGTTCACGCACACGCACACAGCGCCTTAGAACTTCTGCCGTCCCAGAGTTGGTTTCCAGTCCAGTGGGTGCGTCTCCGGCGTGGCATTCTCGTCAGGCTTCCACACCTTGATCGTCTTGTCAGCCTCACCACAGATGAGACGCAAGCCAGTGCGGTCGAACGTGGAGCTCATAATGCCAGCCTCGGCGTCTAGTGAACCGGGCTGCGCGATGCTGTCGAGGCTCTGGAAGCGGTGGCCCGTCTTCCAGTCCCAGAAACTGACAGAGCCGTTGTCACCGCCCGAGAAGAGCACATTGTCCTCGTTGACCGACAGCGTGTTGATAATGGCATTGTGCCCGTCGAAGTTCTGCATGAAGGCGCCTTCTGGGCACTTCCACTGCTTTATGCTGCCGCTGCTACCGCTGGCGAAAGTGAATTCGGTCGGGTGCGTCGTCAGTGCCCGAACGCCCTTTTTGTGGTGCGTCAGGACGCCCATAGTCTTGCCTGCTGCCAAATCCCACATCCGGACCGTGGAGTCCAGAGACGCGCTGATAACCTGCGGATCGGCCTCCTGGCACTGCACATCGCAAACGGTGCCCTTGTGTCCACTCAGGACATGGATGTTGCTGCGTGTCCGCATATCCCAAACTCTGGCCACACCGTCTCTTCCTCCGGTAACGAGTACATCCAGAGTAGGATGTAAGCTCAGGGTGTAGACACCGCTCAGATGACCGTGATAGTCACGGATGACCTTATTCGTCTCCAGATCCCAGCACTTGACCTTCTTGTCCTCTCCGCAAGAAAACAGGTACGGGTGCCTCGGCGAGACAGCCAACCCGCGCACCGTGGAAATGTGTCCCGTCAGCGTCAACTTCAAGTTGCCTGACGCGAGGTCCCAAATCTTAATCGTCCTGTCACCCGCACCACTAGCAAACCACTGATTCCCCGGCTCCACCGCCAACGACCGCACCCATCCCAAATGCCCCGAAATGACACGCATGAGCTTCCACGGCGCGTGCCATTCCGGCTTGGGTTGTCTCAAGTTCTCCCTGCGCACCAAGCTCGACGACGGCAGGTTGCGCTGTGGTGTCGGTCCGTTCGCATTCGGAGGCACGGGTCCGCCCTTTCCACGAACCGTCAATGCCTGTGAAGTCCCCGCTGCACTCGCTCTCTCCTCGTCCTTCGCAGAGATTCCCTCAATCATCTTCATCATCTTGGGGTCGGAGGGCTGGTCCTCGTCCGTCTTCTTTGCCTTCTTCCTCCGTGCGGCAGCAGTCGCAGCAGCGCTAGCTTGCTTGGCTGCCAATGCGGCCGGCAGCTCCTTTACGTCGGCGTATTCATTACGGATGCGCGCGCTGACACTGGAGCGGTTTGCGATTTCTGAAGGCGATGTAGCGGGCGGGGCGACGGAGAAGGTGGTGAGGGACGCGCCTTCGAGCGCAGAGGGCGACGCGAAATCAGAGGCGAATATCTCCCTTGTTCGCTTTGCTGAGGCGCGGACGAGGTTCTGTTGGCGGTTGGTGGTTAGCTTGCGCATAGCTGTTGACGTGCCTGACGTACTCACGCTTGTGTTCTCCGAGACTGGAGGCGCCGAGGGTGCTACGTCGGTCATGATGGTCGATACTAATGAATGGAGGGGATCTGGGTCGGGACGGTCGAGATCAGGTCATTCAGTATGGGTCTGCGGGTACTGGGCGGTTGACGAGGAGGGTTGCGCGCATCCACTCCAGAAGTTGCACCATTTGCAAGTTGCTTCGCAGAGACACTCTAGGGCGCTAGCGGCTTGGCATGTCCATAGGGCTGAGATGGTCACCGTGCGCGCAGAACCTAAAACCTTCTTAGTTGAGCAGGCAAACATTTCCATTGAGCTCTTATGATAATGAGCACTAAAGGTTTCATGCTCTGCAGCCAGCTTTCGAAAACCACCGACGCTCAGGTCACACAAGTCTTAGTCATATCCGTCGGAAATGTTCCTCAAGTCGTTCCCATTGCCATGCTCCCTCATCGTTCATATTCAGCCCTCAACATCCGCCCCCGCATTCACATCTATTCTCTTCAATTCTGGCTCTTCAGCTACCTCCTACCATATGCTGTTAGCTATCAAGTACCTCTTGGCTTGGGGTACACGAAAAAGTATACAAGAACTTACATCATCAGCTTTCCTCTTATTTCCTACCGCCATATGGGTCTCCAGCTTCTGGTATGGGGCCGTTGCAGCTCCTGATGTGGTAGTTGATGACATAGTAGTAGCAGGAGCGTGTGGTCCAGCAGCAGTAGCAGAAGTACTACCGTTTGCCCCGTTCGTCTTCGGCCTGATGATGCCTGGTCCACCCAGAACATTTCTGTCGCCTACAATTCGGACGCCGCAATCGATACGGACGTTTATCTTATGGCCGTGTAGCAATGTAGGTAGGGTTGGGGGTGGTCGGGGTTGCTGTTGCGCATACGCTTGTGTGTTCGCCTGACCCTGAAGTAGCGAAACGAGGAGGGCAGTGATGCGCGGCCCATCGACGGGCTGGATCGCGATGATATTCTGTGAGCCGTGGATTGTCGTACTGGCATCAATGTCGAGGCATTTTGGTTCGGTATTTTCTTCTTCCTCGCCCTCATCTAAGTCAGTGATGTCTGATGCGCCAGGATCGATGCTCTGCTCATGGTCGAAGCCGGATCCAGGTACTACATTTACTGCAGTAGCATAGGCGGGCGGCGGTCCGTTGGCATCGTTGCCATCAGATGCTGGACGCGATGTGGTTTTGGCTGTTGTGGCATCTGCGATTAACTTGGTGTGAGCATGGAAGAGGGAATCCATAATTTCTATTGAGAGCTGCAGAGTCGCTGCTGGTCTGCAAATATGGATCCCTGGTAGCTGAGTTGCTAAAGTAGAGTTGAGTGGGTAGTTGAAAGAAAATTTGATAACAAGAAAAGTTATGAAGGTAACAAGCAGGTACGGTCAACGCGACAGCTTGACTGAATAGAAGGGCTATCGTGATTTGAGCAACAAATCTTTGAGAATAAGGAAAGAAGTTTTGAGGAAGACGGCACAGATATAACTGCAGGCTGCAGGATTACAACAATTACCCGCAAGTGTAAGAGACAATTACACAATCAAACCGGAACATGACTTGCCCAAACATCAATAAGGCATGCATGTTCCCTTGCCTTCCGGGCAATGACTAACTCTATGAGTCTTCGCATTACCGCATTATTGCTGTTTCTATTGTCGTTGTTATTGTCAGCTGGCTAGGGTAGAAGCACCACCCCGTCCGCTTTGCAAAACCCCTGCAGTTGTGTGCCCAATATTGTAATTGGGAGGTTCTGTGACACAGGACCATATTGCACGTGCAATTGACAATAGCAATGTCGGACGAAAAAAATCTGGACAAGCCGGCTGATTGGTTGGGTTTATGCTATTGAGGTTGTTCGCGCATTCCTATTGTTCCCTCTGTTTGTCTAACGAGGCGAGCTGCGCTTCGTCGGCCATGTGCAAAAGTCTGTTCGCGCCAGAAACACTGTTTGATGTGTGCTTTGTCCTTTGTGTTTCGTTCTTTGTTTGAATTACGTTGTTATTGCTGAATGGCAATTAAAATGCAGTAGTTCATCGTTCGTCTTTCTATCTCTCATTCACCTACCTACAAAGTATCAAGTGTCACCAAAGTCGGCACCAAATCTTGAAATGGAAACAGACTTAGCGCAGCACCACTACCGAGGTACCAGCATCGGGCTGTCGCTCATCGAAACTTTGGACGACCTGATAAGGGATCAGCGCATCACGCCACAGCTGTCATACAAGGTGCTAGCAGCCTTCGACAAGGAAATTGTAAGAACGCTCAAGAGGCGCATCCAGAAGCGCATGACTTTCAAAGCTCAATGTCGAACTTATGGCTTCTACGATGACAAATGGAAGTTCGAGCTCAAGGATGTCAAATATAGGTTGGACAGCGGAAAACCTATGGAAAGCGCAAGGCTGAGCATCTCCGCTATTTCATCAGGAGCGGACCAGGGAAAGCAGCGAAAGGCGAAGAAGAAACAAAAGGAGCCAACGGATTAAGGATTACGGGAGGCCTACGTTGAGACTGTAATCGCCTTGCTGCCGACTTCATTTGCCGCGACAAATTATTCTGGGTCCGTATGGTCTTAAGAGGCACTTTGGATCGCGGTATGGAGAGTAAACTGGAAGAGACGAATTGAAAATTGGGACTCCAAAATAGAAGGTTCCACCGGAATGCATATGCGCGACTTGCCATTTAAAGTGAGCATATCAGCTCGTGGAACGTTCCCAAGAGCCGGGGCGGTTGAAGTTTTAGTTTCAGCGGGTTGGTGTTGCTTGCGCTAGCCTTTATGCGCAAGAGTAGAATAAGGCATGACATACCAGTAGAAACTGTGCTAGTTAAAAAGGGCGACTGAAAGTCTGGGTGTCTACTCAAATACGGATTTATGTTCGACTTGAGGAACAGAAACCAGAGGAGAATCGAACAATTTATGGGCCTGTTGATATGCAAGAATGACGAGACGAACAATGCTTACGGATCGACGATGGCTCGAGGACCGTTGGCCGCTGCTCGAACTGGGCAGCCACTGGCAGCACGAATGCCTACAGTCAGCCAATCCATTGCCAGCTCTTTTTTCGTTCGTTCGTTTGCCATGGTTGGAGACGGCTTGGCAGGGGCATCAGAGCGCATGTCGGGCCAAGGGGTTTCAAGCATATTGATAGCATACCGAAGGCCATCGGCTCGTCGGCACGACGCTTGTTTGTCTCTCAGTCACGCTCATGCCTTCAGTCCCTCGCAGGTCGCTATGCGGGGAAGCTGGCGGAGCGTGGACGCAAGCGCAAGGGGCCCCTGGGCGCAGATGTGCCTGGCAGCGTTCTCGAAGCGTGAATGAAGGTGCGGGCGTTTGTACAAGTGGCCACCGTGTCGCGACCTCAGGAACACATCAGGTGCTCCACCCGGAACTGCTGCGCGACGCTCACACGGGCGCGGCATTGCACCTGTGGCAGAGGCAATCAGCTCGTCGGCCAATTGCTGTCGTGGTTGTTGTTAGTGGCGGTTGTGTTTGCGGTCGCTGCTTCTCCAGACTCCAGATCGTCGTGATTCCCGTGGGAGGGAGCCACGGAGCCGCTAGCGGAATTGCCCACCTGGCCCATAGTCAAAAGCGCGACGTAACCCATAAGCCAAATGCGCGCAATTGACTTTCCTCCTCAACTTTCTCTTCGCCGACAACCTGCCATTGCTCGAGCGGCTTGCGCTTACATTGCCGCCCCCAGCCCTTTGTCTAGACTCGACGGGAGGCAGCCGGAGCATCAGGAGATCCAAGCCCAGAACCAAGACCCCTGCAAGGTGTGCCACACCGGCCAGCGGCCGACACCTATCTTCTCCGCGCCGCCCTGAAGTTGACACCCAACCCCAAAGCCATCGCCGTCGTTCAACAACCACGGCCGGAGCTGCATTTTGTCTTCAACTTCGGCGCCTGGGTTGACGCTCTGCTCACCTCCCTCCCTCTGCTGGTCGCAAGGGTTTCCGCCCTTCCCTCGATCTAAGAGCTTGGCTCTTTCCCCTCGAGGTTCACTGTCGACACTCTTGCATCGAAGCTCTCCCGTACAACACCACTTAAGGTACATTGTTCACAGCCACATGCTTGAATTCGACTGACACGCCGTAATACAGTATACTCAACCGCAATCATGGACCCTCTCGTGTCCTGGGGCCTGTTTATCATTGTCGGCTCAGCGGCAGTTCTCTACTACCGCAGCACCAATGAAAAGAAGACGCAGGCTCGCGGCCTCCGCGCCAAGTCTGTTTCGGACGATATCGTCTCTCGCACCAAGTCGAAGCGGAAGACGGACGTCATCACCTCCGGCAGCGACACTGCAGCGAAGAAGAAGAATGATGTGAAGGCCCGCAACAAGAAGAAGGATCAGCAGGCCCCGAGCAAGGCGCCTCAAGTCACTACGCAGCCCATTGCTGATGAGGAGGACGACAATGACAAGGAATGGGCTAGGCAATTGGCTGATTTGAAGAAGGGCACGACCTTGGCCCCTCCGACGCGCAAGGAAGGACGCGGCAAGACTGTCAAGCAACGTGCTGCTGATGCTGACCGTGGCCTCACGTCTGGATCCTCCAACAACGGAGCCGAGGCCGATGGTGAGCTCTCTCCTGCTCTTTCTCCGGCCATGAATGCCACCGCTCCCAGCGGCAATGACATTGCGGACATGTTGGAAGCTCCTGCCGCCGGTCCGTCGGTTCTTCGTCTGACCGAGTCCACCAAGCCTGTCAAGCAGCAACAGGCTAAGAAGGCTCCTGCTGAGGCTAAGGAGACCAAGAAGCAGCGCCAGAACAGAAGGAAGGTTGAAGAGGCCCGGGCTGCCAACGAGGAGACCGAGAAGGCCCGCAGGGCTCTGCTCGAGAAGCAACTCCGCACCGCCCGTGAAGCTCGCGGTGAACCGGCCAAGAACGGCGTCGCCAGCGTGCCTTCTGGTCCCAACCCTTGGACCGCGCAGGGTGCTCCCGTCACCTCTGCTCCCGCCGCCGAGGCTCCTCTCTTGGACACGCTCGACAACGAGCGCCAACTGCCCACTGAGGAGGAACAAATGCGCCTGGCCATGGAAGACTCCGGCTGGAACACTGTCGAAAAGGGCAAGAAGGGCAAGAAGAAGCCTGCCGACGACTCGTTGGCCGTTAAGCAAGTCTCTGAGGCTCCTGCCAAGCCCGTGGAGGAGACTGCCAAGTCTTCCCCCAACAGCACGCCGAAGACCTCGCCCAAGGTCAGACCGGCCGAGCCCCACCCCACCAACAGCTTCTCTGCTCTCGACGATCTTTCGAGCTGGCAGGGCCATCCCCAGGACTCGGACTGGGCCGTTCTCTAAAGAAACATATACGGAAATTGTTGCACGTTTGTGTGCTCACGCATTGGGGATGCCTGACTGCGAAGTCTCTTTCCTAGGAGCAAGACAAATTCTTCTCCAACGGGGTCTGACACATGGCCGGTCGCCCCTCTTATTCATCCCGCAACGGGATGCCAACATATCTGCATGAGCGTTGAGAGGCGTATATCCACCAGCTCGCCCTTGGCGTGCGATCGTCTTGTTCGTTTCACATTTTTTGTATTTCTGCAGCACTCTGAGTTTTATTTGGGGAGGGGTTCGTCTTGCACTGCAAGAGCAACGAGGAGGTTGAGATTTCGAACGGCTGGGCCAGTGTGGTCAAAAGCAAGTTGTCTTTCTACCTTGGGTAGTGGCAGCAAGCCGGATGCGGGCAACTCGCGCGCATGCGGAGACTTGCACGTCTATTTGTTTAGGTAGTTTTTTCTCCATGTTTCGCGTGGCTACCCGATGGCAGCGCATGTAGAGTATCGTGCAAACGAGACGAATACCAGTACCTAGAAAAGCGTGCAACTCCCTTCGCCCCCTCGTATATGAGCACCAGCCACCGTTGGGGCTGATACAGTGGTGGTGATCCAAGCTTCACGATGCTAAATATACCAGCTTGCATCAGCGAGCCAGGCCGGAAGGGTACGGCCGCGCAAGAAGTCGGGCCCTAGAGAAGGCGCGGCGAGTCGCGCGGGAGCGGAGGCTTCAACAAGCGTCGAGCTGGAGCAGAGGCGGCCCGCCGTTTTCATAGGGCGCAACAAACAGAACGTCACCGGGTAGCGACCTGCCCTTCGTCGCTCGCCTCGGGCAACTCAAACCACTGAGGCCACCTTTACTCCAACACCGGCCGCAGTAGCTCCCCCCACCACCTCCGGCCCGCTCATAAAACCGCCGCAGTCGCGCAGACCCAGCTTGCTTTCGGCGCACACTTCCCCCTCGACTTTTCCACCATGGCTCAAATAAGAGGAACGGCGGGCTACCACCTCGGCAACCAGAGTCCCTTTGGCGGCCCCGGCCGCGTCGAAGCCACCAACGACCCGAGCCCGCTCGACGCGATCAGGGAACAAACGAGCAAGATTGAGGACTGGCTGGACACGCTTTCCGACCCTGTCAAACCGTGAGTTGCTGCGTTCCGCCCCAAGGCCCTGCTGGCGGATCGTCCGCCGGTCGAGGGGCGCTGTGTACAGGTGTCAGGACGGATATGCTAACTTCGCCTTGCACACAGCTACCTTCCCGCGATCGGCCGCTTCCTGATTGTCGTCACCTTCTTCGAAGATGCGCTGCGCATCATGACCCAGTGGACCGACCAGCTCACGTATCTTAAAGACTACCGACACAGTATGGGCCCCCACCATCCCCCGGACACCCTTGGACTGGCAGCTCCGTACCAGCGCTGGTGTAACGGAAACACACAGCGGCAGCATAAGCTAACCTGCGCTTTCTCGCAGTTCCTTATGGCGTAACGCATGCCTTCCTGATCTTTAACGTCATCGCCATGACTACCTGCTCCGTGATGATCATTGCCCGCAAGCACTCCGAGTACGCCGTCGGCGGCCTCTTTGGCGTCGTGATCACGCAGGCGCTCGGTTACGGCCTCATCTTCGACCTCAACTTTTTCCTGCGCAACCTCTCCGTCATGGGCGGCCTTCTCATGGTCCTGTCGGACTCGTGGGTTCGCAAGCGGTTTGTGCCCGCCGGCCTCCCCCAGCTCGACGAGAAGGACCGTAAGATGTACTTCCAGCTTGCGGGTCGTGTCCTTTTGATCTTCCTCTTCATCGGTTTCGTCTGGAGCGGCGACTGGGGTTTCTGGCGCGTAGCGGTCAGCATTCTGGGCTTCATTGCTTGCGTCATGGTCGTGGTTGGTTTCAAGGCCAAGTGGAGCGCGATCATGCTCGTGGTTATCCTTAGCATTTTCAACGTTCTGGTCAACAACTTCTGGACGCTGCACCCGCACCACCCCCACAAGGACTTCGCCAAGTACGATTTCTTCCAGATCCTGTCCATTGTGTAAGTCTCACCACCAACCCAACCCAACCTAAATGGCATACTAACCGAATCTCAGTGGTGGTCTCCTCCTGCTGGTCAACATGGGCCCCGGCCAGTTCAGCGTCGACGAGAAGAAGAAGGTTTACTAGACGCGCGCAAACACCACACGTTTTCCGTAATGCCGAAGCTTTCCTCGCCAATATAAACAGGTGTCGGGAGGATGGAGATGCTGTTTTTGGCCGGAGGGCAACGCGGAGTGCGACCCCGGCGGTCAGGGTCCGGGGCCCTTTTCACGGCAAAAAGTTCGGTTGGATTCATGGGCATGAGCATGTATCGAATGGTGTATATCATCATGGTTTAGTCATTGGGAGTAGCCGCACCGCTCTGGTCGGTAGACATCCCCTTTCCTAGTAGTTTCAAGTCACGATTGATATCGTTACCGCTGGCGACTGCGTGTTGTGGTAGTGAAATGAATAGGAGCATGCACGGCCAGATGGCTGCAGAATGCCAGCTCAGAGCTCTAGAGATAGGCCCAAGCTGCGGCGGCCACCGAGGCCCAGCTGACCTCCAGCCAGCCTTCTACTGGACAGAAGCAGACGTATCGCGCCTTTTGACACCCCGCGTGCCGTGTCAAAAGGCGCGCCAAGACTTCGATGGTGCTTGACTGATATAAACATCGGATCTCCGAGACCAAAGCACCCTTATTGCTATCCCACAATTCACAACTCCTTAACATTTTTATAAATCTCATCCGGCCATTATTCGAAAAGGTCTATCGGAACTCGCAATCATGCCGCCGAACAAGATAATTATCGATACGGACCCGGTACGTACACGCACACGCAGGCCACGACTTTCCTGAGACATCAACCCCGCCCCCACCACCCATCCCTGCAGCGCAATAAGATGCGCGCCATTCGGTGCTTTGGCACATGCGAGCATGTCCCAGGGCTGTTCAATGAAGCGGTAGCTAGCTTGATGAATGTAGCTGATGCTTTTGGTAGGGTGTCGATGATGTGATGGCGCTGCTGCTGGCATTTGCGGCCAAACCGGAGGAGCTTGAGGTGTTGTTAGTGTCGCTCACGTTTGGCAACATTGACGTCCAGAAGTGCGTGATCTCTACTATTCATCATATGATTTGCTTCGTTCTTATTTCCTTCTCATTTTCCTTCCATCTCTCTGATTTGTTGTACTTTTCGTAAAACTCCTTTTTTGATGCTTGCAAGTCTCCTGACGATGGGTGTTGTGGTACAGTTGTCTTCGTAACCTGGTCACTCTCTTCCACTGGATTGATAAAGAGATTGCCTGGAGAAGAGAGAATGGTCTGCCAGAGGGCTTTGACACCCTGAGGGCACGGAAGCCAATCGGTAAGTACATCTCTCGTTCGAGTTCAGGGGGAGACATGTGAAGATAAGTGCAGAGAGAGCTCAAAGGCTAGGATCGCAATTCTTCTTTGAGAGAGTATTTCTGAGGCACACGGTATATATGCTAACCGGTTACTACAGTGGCGGTTGGCGCTGAAGAGCCGCTAGCTGACCAGATGATGATGGCCGACTATTTCCGTAAGCCGACTATGCAAACACCTACTTTTCGATCATCGCACCAAGCTAAAACTTATCAGATGGCATCGATGGCCTTGGAGGCATTCACTCGAGCGTGCGCACCGTGTTCTCCTAGCTCCCTTCGTCTCGAGCTGACATATCTTAGCACCCGCATCTCACGCCGGAGGAAACATGGAAGCACCTTTTCTCCTCGGCTCTTAACTCGTCAGACAAAGAGACTCAAGCTGCCGCCCGCGAGGCACAACAATCCAATGCCCTCTTCACACCATCGACGCGCCCCTCGTACGAGGAGATCCTCCGCCTGTTGCGCGAGAACGAGCCCGACACAATCACCGTCGTTGCCGTTGGCCCGCTGACCAACCTCGCCACCGCCGCAGCCCACGATCCCGAAACCTTCCTGCGGGCTAAGGAGGTCGTGGTCATGGGCGGCGCTATCGACGTCTCTGGCAACGTACGCTCCCAGCCTCCTCTCCATCCCGTCGCTGCGGTCAAGCCGCCGCCTTTCAATCTCATCAAGGCGCCGGACTCCCCGCTCAGAGCTATGCTAAACAATCGCAACCAGATGACGCCTGTCGCCGAATTCAACACCTACGCTGACAGCATCGCTGCCGCGCGTGTCTTCGCGCTTACGAGCCCCAACCCCGCATCCACGATGCCGCCTCCGCCACCTCCGCGCCCGGGACAACAGGACCAGCCGCCGCCGCCGTTCCTCCAGCCGTACCCGACTGGCTTGTCGAAGCAGCTTAAGCTGACCATCTTCCCGCTTGGTGAGCGCGGCGCCACCATCCCTTACTCTTAGATTTACTTTCTTAGTGCTGACCTATATTTATCTATTAGATATAACGACTCCGCACGAGCTCACCCGCGGCCAGTTCACTAAGGCCACCGACGCCTTGTCTTCCAAGGGCTCCCCGCTCGCGACATGGGTGACGGCGTTCCTTAGCTCTACTTTTAGGAAGGTTGAATCCCTCCGACACATCCCGCAGGCTCCTGAAGCCGTTGGGTTGGAATTGCACGACCCACTGTGCATTTGGTAAGTAGATCAAACGTCTCAACATTACACCTTAGGCCCCTGATTTGCACCCACTAGTGTTTCCTCTTGCTAACCCTGCGGCTATCAGGTACGTCCTCTGCCCTAATACCGCAACGCCCGTACCCCAGTCGCCCAACCATAACGGGCAGATGTGGAAGTACGCGCGGGACGCGCGGAGCTCCGAGCCCGATGCGCCCGAGGACATTCGCGTTGAGACCTCCGGCCAATGGACGCGCGGCATGTGCGTCGTGGATAGGCGTGACAGGCGCAAGCGTGACGACGACGTCGAGGGCGAGAAGCCCGGCGACACTGGCAACTGGCTGGGCAAGAGGGCCGGGAACCGCGTTAGCAGGATCGTGAGCACTCCCGGCACCAAGGTGTTTGGCCAGTATCTGCTGGAGAGGGTTTTTGGTGTCGATATGAAGTAGATAGACGTTCGTGTTGGTGGGATATGCTGTTAGAGTGGTGTATAGTGATGTAGATAGTGGACAGAACGGATGACTTGGTAGTAGAAGGAGTAGGTAAATTCGATATCGATGCAATGCTAGCAAACAACTGTCGAACATACCGGCCTTTTATTTCCAGCTGCGCCAAACACGCCCATACGCCGATCCATCTTGCCATCTTGCCCAAGACCGTCAGCTTCAAATATCTTCTTACCCGTATTCTCTCACGCCCTAACCCACAATACTAACCACGGTTTCGCTATCCCCGCATTCCGCAACCCCACCCACACGCCCCAAACGCCGTCAAGACCCACAATATTCCCGCTTCCCACGACGTCTCTTCGCAGCTGCAGCGTGCCTACATCCTCCAACCCCACCGCCATAAGCGTCAACACCTATGGCGCTGCCACAGCGCTTGCGCACCCTCCCGCCGCCACATCCTCTACCAGCAATCGAGCAGTCGTATAAACGATGTTTCGTGCGGCGAAAGGTTCGGGTTCGAGTGGTTGGAACGGATTTGCGACACGCGGATCGGACGGGGCGGCCAAGGTGGCGATATGACGAGACAGTGCACGAGCGAGCTATGGCCTCTTAAGTGCAGCGGCGGCTGCTACGTGTGTGTCGTTTCGCCCATGAGGTTGTGAATGGTCGGCGGTGGCTGGTGGGATGGGGTCATCATTCGTGGTTGGCGCAGACGAGAGCTGTAACTTTTTTGCCGGCTGGGAGCTGGGAGCTGGGGAGCTCAGGGCTCAGGCACGAGGCCGCCTTGTCCACCGCCCACCGCGCTAAGCGCGCAAGCAACCGTCTTGCTCCTCGTCCGCCTCCGAGAAGACCAACCTCGACGCTGTATTGTGTATGTAGGTGTCCGCGACGACGCACAGTGTGTCCGGTGAGGGAGCACAACGTGTTACGTCTGCAATTGACCGGCACCGTCGCGAGCCCTCAAGGTGTTCATGTCAGGCTGAGTGCGTGACGATGTGCCGACGCGAACATTCAGGGCCATGATCTACGATCGAGAGAAGCTGCTAGTGGGTTCGCGTAGGCACGATCAACGGAGGGAGTACCGGAGGAGGAAGGGGGGGCGTGGACGTGGTCGAGAGTCTGCATCAATGTCCTCGTGGACGGTTCCTTTGGGCGGCAGGGGATCGGGCTTTCCGAATGCCATCATTTCCGCATGAAGCTAGGAGCTAGTTTGCCCTGGTCTCGAGCATCGTCGGCTTCTGTGTCGTTAGCCGCCTGGAAAGTGGTAATAGACGATCAGTGTCGCAAGGAGCAGACGGGCTTCCTTGCCTCGGCCTTCCAGGCGACAGAGAAACAGAGGGAGGGGCTGGTGTTCTCTACCTGCATGCACACAGCCAGGTCGACTGCGGCCCAGGTCATTCCCCAGTCGCACGCAGATGAAGCCTTCCCCCCAAGTGTCCCCCATGCAACGGGCCAAAGCTTGTCATTGGACAATGGCAGATGTCGACGCATGCGGCCGGCTCGACCTATCGATAGCCGCTGCTGTGCCTCCCAGTGACCTGTAATATGATCAGCACCTAACTGGCAGCGCCAAGCTACCCTGCAGACAACCGTCAGATCATCAACGGGTGACTCGAGGACACTCGCCAGCACGCTGAGCGAACGCACCGAGGCCCTGGGTAGAGGCGGACGGGCCCGCTCAATGCCGCGTTCCGCCCGTCCAAAAGTCGGGAGGCCTGGAGGGGCGCCCCAAACGTGCTTCGTCTGATTCACGACAAGGAGGTCATATCCGAATGCGAAACAGACCAGCTCGCAAGCGAGGTCTATGAAATGCCGTGCGGCAGCACAAATCTCGGCTCTGGTTGAGGCGCGGGGAGATGGGCTGGACGGACGACGATGGCGGCGACGGGCCGGCGCTTACGTCACGCGGGAGCGGGCAGGGGAAAGGTTGAAAGCAGAGACAGGCCTTGCCAACGAAGCACGCAGTGGTGGACCCCTCGCCTTCTGGAACGGAGGCAACGGGGAAGCAGAGCCAAAGGAGCGGTCTGCCGTAGCGTGCAGCGCCAACTCGATTCGAGGGGGGCTGAGGACGCTGGGCAGGAGGGGGAAATGATTGGCGGCGCAGAGGGCAGCCCTGCATCAGGAGGGCCATGCACGCAGCCGCTCTGGCCCCGTCGTCGTGCGTTCCTGGGCTTGGGCGGCTGGCATATCTCTATCTCTCTCTGACTCTCTGATCTCGACAAGACGCATGCGGGCAGGCAGGAAGGAAGGACGACGAGTCACGACAATGATGGTGGTGGGGAGTGGGGGGGAGGCGTAAGATGGAACGAACAATGGGCAAAGGGCATTGGGCGAGGCGGGCAGCGTGGGCGCGCGGGCGGGCGATAGGCTTGTTGGACGCTTGGTCGAAAACATTGCCACCCACCAGTGCCCAAAGGGGACTAGTGCCGAAGCATCACAGGACCCAATTAACAGGCCGCCTCGCTCCCCTCTCGGGTCTCAGCCCATCTCGCTCACCCGCACACAGCGACTCTTCTGTATCTATCCTACTGTTCCCGCCCCCCATCATCGTCTTTTGCGATCTTCCATCCGCTCTCACACTCCATCTGCTCTAATTCTCTCCCGTCTATCGACACCATCTACCTTCGACTCTTCCGACTTTCGGTCCTCTCGATCTTCTCGACCCTCTCTCGCCTCCCCGAGCCGAGCCGCCCGCAGCCATCCCTTTGTTAGGCCTTTGTTGTGACCCTTTCCTCGTCGGGTGACTTGTACCGATCCCACGGCTGCGTCCTCTCTCCACCAACGTCCGTCTTACTCGCCGCACCACCTACATAAACTACCCGACCGGCCAAACTCCAGTCATCCGCAACCATGTCGACTTCAAACTTCTACTACGGCGCTCCCCACCACGCTGCCCACCTCAACGCGCACCAGCAGCACAACCACCCCGGCGGTCGCCCCCGGAGGGCGCCCCGCTCCGCTGCTGCCCACAACCACAAGCAGTTCCGGGCTGTGCGCACCCCCAAGGAGGTCGTCGAGGCTCCCAACGTCGTCGCTTTCCGTCGCGATTTCGAGGCTGCCCGGTCCTTTGACATCGAGGACGACGAGATGTTCTGCCCTTTCCACCTGCTGACCGAGGACGACGTAAGTGCTACTTGTCTTTGTCACCCTCGTGGATCGCAATGATAGGGTTCCCCAGCTGCGTTTGATCGCGATGAAACACTCGCAAGACGCACCTGAAGCCGACACGAACAAGCCGCTGACTGGTTCTCTGCAACAGCTGCAATCCATCCACTCTTCTGGCTCCGACCGTTCATCCCTGTCGTCGGGATCTCCGGACTCGTCTCCTCTTCAGCACCAGCTGCAGCCGACGCCTAGCTTTGTCCTCTCGTCGGCGACAAACTCTTACACCCCGACCGGCTTCAACACCTCCCAGACGAAGCTCCACCAGCCTCTGGCCCAGCGCACGCGCAACGCGATCCCCATCGTCGACCCCAGCACCCGCAGTGTCGCGAGCCCGCCGCCTTCCGTCTCCCCTGCGAGGCAGATGCAGCACCAGTTCATCCCTCGCCGGTGGTAATTCGCTTGCCGGCTGAAGATGCCAGTGTCGGTCTGTCTCGGTCGCATTGCGGCGCACTGCGTGCGTTAGGTTGGTGGGTGTCCCTTCTCTTCCGGATCATCACTATTGCTTCGACATTCGCCGATCCCGGAGATCCGTTCATAATTCTCGCTACTCGGTTCTTTTGTACAAAGCTCCACGACACTTTTCTACTCGGGATACCCGGTCCACCTGGACGACGGCGTTGCAGTGCGGCGAAATACGCGCATCGCATTTTCTTATCGAATAGATCGCTCTGGCTTTTCATGTTGGTTTTAGCGTAACGCATAACGTAGGGCTTTGGCATTGCGGAACTCACAACGGTGTTCATGGGACTTTCTACAAGAAAATCATCAAGAGGTGTTTTTGGGAAGGTGGGCTGTTGTCCGAGCAATCTGCCGCGCCTCTGGATTTCAAGTTCATTGGGTGGGTAAGCATTTCCTTTGTCGGTGGGCTACTTTACATCAATCGCAAAGCGGTCGGCGGGTTGGATTGGTGGCCTGTAACGGTGTTTGCTGCAAAGGGTTGGTTCTGCTGGTATACCACGGCGAAGAAGTCTTTTTCATGCACAAGATATACAGCGGCGGTGTCGGTTGGGAATTTCTGCTTTTATGCCTTTCAGCTTTCTCTTTTCTTTTTTTATTTTGCTTCTTCTGTCTTGTTTTTTGGTACTCGACTTTTCCACTATCCCTCGCAGAAGCAGAGAGGAACAAAGCTGCATACTTTCGGCCCTTGCCACAGAACACTGTTCTTCAGGTTTGCGTTTCTTCCTCGAAGGATACACACTTCATAAAGATCACACATGTACGCTGGGACGAGATCATGCTGTTCTTTCTTTCTTCTCTTATCATTACGCTTCTGTGCTTTCTGCTTTCAATGGCCTGCTGGCGTGGGATTCTCTACTTAGTTGGTCTTTGGCTTCTGTCTCTCTTTCAGGTAAAGGCGGAGCGGTCCCTTGCCTTTAGTAGGAACCAATCGCAGCTTCATCATCATCCAACCATTCGTGCAAGCCGCTATGTCAGTGTCGAGGGACAGATGTGGAGTTGTGGAGAAGGTGATGCATCAAGTATCGAAAAGGTGCAAAGAGACAGTCGTCGATCGTGGATGCGGGGAGACGGGAGATTGATGAAGTCCAGCGACTGACGGACGCTGCAAATGAGAAACGTAATTCCCGCAATGGAGACGGTGGTGGCACGGTCCAATGACGACATGCATGATCGAGCAGGCGCGTCGCTGCAATTGCGTTGCCAAAGCCGAGGGATCCTCACGTCCGCAAGCGACCTTCATATCTTCCCTTCTGTCCACGAATTGTAATCTTCATTTACTCAACTCTGAATCCTTCACGCTTCACGATCGGTACGCAACCCTACGTTTGATGAGCTCCTACTGCTTCATCACCATTCTATTTATACATATGCACCCGCACCTACACCTGCATCTCCACGCCGAGCATCGAAGCTCCGCACGCATCTCCCCACCTGTTCATCCCTCCATCACTCCACTCTATCCCCTCATCCATCTCCCAGTCATAGCAAATTCAACTAACATCACTTCTGTGGTAGCACACATTCTACGACATCTATCTACCTCTCTACCTCGACATACACAACTTAGAACACTATCATGTCTGCCCTCAGGAACTTCACCCGCGTCGCGCGCCCCGCCGTCTTCTCTGCGCAGCGTAGGGGCTTCCAGGCTTCGGCACTGAGGCCCGTCGGCAAGGAGTCTGCTCTGCGTAAGCTTGCCCTTTGTTTGCGCTTTGTGGTGGATGACAGTGGAATGAACGAGATGGTCGGTGGTTGCGTCGCGCTTTAGCGGAGACAGCGGAATGGCTTGAAAGAGGGCTCTAGTATGTCCGCTTATCTTGCATCGTCTTGCTTCGAGCCTTCTGCAGCCGCTGTCTCTGCATTGGCTACCGCTCTCAACTACAGCTCTTCGGCTTACTCCCACATCAACTTCCGCCAAAAGCATCCTAGAGCTCGGCTAATTTACCTATACAGACCACGACGCTCGTGGCGAGGAGGCTGAGGCACACAAGCAGGATCAGCTGAAGAAGCAGAAGCAGGGCAAGGGCCACTGGAAGGACGAGCTTGCGTCCGACAGCGAGTCGATTGTAAGTCGCCTTCACAGCTACCTCGTATTTCATTTAGTCAGGATAGTGTGCTAACAAATTCTCTACAGGTCAAGGCAGACCGCGGCGAGGTCGAGGCGTCGGAATCGACGATCAAGGAGCTGCAGAAGGAGACTGAGAAGCTCGCCCGGAAGAAGGATTAAGCACATCATCCTCGATGGTCCGACGTGCTAGTTCTCAAAATTATTAGCGAGTCCTTTTCTTTGTTGCTTTGAGCATCATGACGGCAGGAAAATATCGTGGACTTTGGAGATGTACTTTCACTTTCTCGCATCTGCAAGGCAGTATGCTGTAAAGTTCATTGGAGTTTGTGTAACTGAGAATGGGTAAATCCAATACCTCCTTCCTCTCTCGTCATACCTTGGTTCGTGCGCTTTTACGTGAAGATATACAAAAGAGCTTGGACGGTTTCTGTGAGATCCGCAACGAAAATGGCAATGCTCGCACAGGAGAACGCGTGGGGCAGCTGCTTATCTCCATAAAAAGTAGGTCCCGATCAGAAGGAGATCTCCATCTCTGTCCGCTCGTTCTCCTCTGCAGTCTTCGTTTCAGCGTGCACGGGGATGGCGCGATGGAGCGCTTGCCTGGCTCGTCTTGCGCTAGTGCGTTTGGCGTGCTTCTTGTTCTTGCCTCCGTCCATCCATCCGTCCGGCCGGCCGTCGACTTCAACACTAACTACCTAACGTTTTAGCTGGGTGGGTTCGGTCTTTGTCTTGTGTTTTGTGTGAATGCTTTCGGGTTTGGTGAGACTTGTTGTATTGTTGTAATGTGCTCGGGTGGGTTTGCTGACTGGTGTGGTTGGACTGCGTGTTGGTAAGTTCCATATTCCTGTCAGATCATTCGGTGCCATTCATTGTATTGAGCTTTTACTAAAACACCTCCACGTAGATATCTCTATAGATACTTGTCCAGGCTTATTCCACGCTGATTTGCTGGCTGGCAGCTGCCTCAATTTTCCCGGGCATGTCCAATCAACTATGATGTCCCCCTGTTCATTGGCTGCTTGGCGACAGGCATCGTGGCATTGTACCCTGGCGCAGTGCTGCAAGACAGCTCAGCGCCCAACAGCCTTGCGCTTGAAAAGAATAGAAATGCCGCGATTCCGCTCGTCTTTGACCTACATACCATTCACCTTTACACCCGCATGATGGACCCACTCACAGCCATCGGCCTTGCCTCGAATGTCGTTCAGTTCATTACTTTTGCTAGCGACCTTGTGTCTAAGGGCCGAGTGATCTACAAGTCCGCTGATGGGCAACTGGTCGAGACTTTGGAGCTTTCAGAAATCACGGAAATCTTGCAAGCCGAGATTGAAGTTGATCACATCTCAACTGGCGGTAGGTTAGCAACCAAAACCGACAAGCAACTCGAAGAACTATGCAACGGGTGCCGTGGTGTGTCAACGGACCTGCTTAGAGCAATCGACGCTTTAAAATTCAACGGCAGACACCGAAAATGGAACAGCTTTCGCCAAGCTCTGCAGAGTATCTGGAAAGAAGAAGAAATTCAAAGTTTGACCATGCGTCTCGAGCGATACAGAAGTCAGATTGATACGACCCTACTCTTCTCCCTTAGAGAAGTTGTTCTCCAGCAAGGACATGGATTTGCCAGATTTAGAGAAACTTTGAATAAAGATATGGCTAAATTCATGGACGAATCTAGAGAATGGCAAGCGGACATTCTAAGGTCGATACGTCAGAATCAGGATCCGACCATCTCATTGTTCCAATTGTTGGCTGCGGGGAAGCGGCCAGGGGAACAGTCAATTGAGGAACGGATTCGGGAAAACCTGTGGTTTCGAGAAATGAAGAGCCGACATGAGGGGATTTCAGAAGCGCATGAGCAAACTTTTGACTGGATTTTCACCCATGGAGAGACAACGCCGGATGATATTCTACCTAAAAGCAGCGGCTGCTCAGAAAGTGACGACGTGAAAGCCAAAAAAGGGTATGACAACAACGACAACAACAACAACAACAACAACAACAACCGAGGGGCCATTGAAGTTACAAATGTTCGTTGGGACAATTTTGCCGAGTGGCTTCGCAGTGAAAAAAGCTTTTACTGGATAACGGGAAAACCTGGCTCGGGGAAATCAACACTGATGAAGTATTTGTTCAACGATAACCGGACGAGAGAACACTTGGACCCATGGAGAGGAGATTCACCACTGAAAACAGCCGGGTTCTTCTTTTGGAATTCTGGAACACAAATGCAGATGTCTCAGGAGGCTCTCATGCGTACATTGCTTTACCACCTCACGGACGGCCAAAACGAAGACATACCGCGCCTCTTCCCGTATAGATGGCAACGCAGCCAACTTTTTGGTGATTACGACCACCCTTGGACCCTTTCAGAATTAATAAAAGCCTTTGAGATCCTCATGTCGGATACTTCAACCAGATTCTTGCTTTTTGTTGACGGTCTGGATGAATTTGATGTGGACTGTGAGAAGCTTGCAGCCTTTCTACTGGGGGCATCACAACGACCAAATGTGAAGGTTTGCGCAGCAAGCCGCCCTTGGAATGTGTTTGAAGATGCTTTCGGACGCCGACCATCACTCAAGATGGAGCACCTCACTGCTCGAGACATCCGTCTTGTGGTTTCCGACCGGCTACACACCAGCCTTAAATTCGTCGAAATGAACAGAATACATCCTGAAGATTGCCGATCTTTGATTGAAGAAGTGTGCAAGAAAGCGAACGGAGTATTTCTCTGGGTACACTTGGTCGTAAAATCCTTGCTCGAAGGACTGCGAGACGGTGATAGCATCGCGCGCTTGCGGGACCGACTGGTATCGATTCCTGGTGACCTGGAGGGCTTCTTCAAGAAGATATTACATGACATGAGTCCATCCAAAGCCGAAGAAGCTTCCAAACAATTTCAGTTGATGGAGGCTGCTGTGTTTCCACTATCGCTACTCCTCTTTTCGTTCGCAGGAGATGGCTTCGACAATGCCATGTCAGCGGAAGTCAAGCCTATGTCACTCGAAGAAAAACAATTTCGGGCTGATACGACGAACCGTCGATTAAGAAGCTGCACCAAAGGCCTACTCGAGGCGAATGACCCTGCTGGGCAGGACCCGGACTCAGAAGTGAACTACTTGCATCGAACTGTCAGGGACTTCATTACTCGACGAGAATTCTGGGCGTCTATTTTGGGAAGTGTAAAGGGAAACTTTGCGTCTGATTTCGATATCGTCGGCGCGCGCCTTCGCCTTATAAAAGCCGAGGACCCTAATTCGAAGGAATATGGGCCAGAAGACGCACATCCATTGTTTTTTCACTTCTGGAGGTTGGGCCACGAATGCTCCGCAATTCCACGCGACAAAGAATTGCTCTTACTATTTCTCGAGTCAAAACGGACATATGCAATACTTCGTGACCAGCCCTCCGCGTGGGATTGTGGTATTGGAGGAACGGAGAGCTTTACCTTTAGGTTGAATTTTCTGGAATGGGCCTTCGAATTTGGATTCTCATCATATATTAGGCATGAGGTCACTCAACTCCGGCATCAAAGCATACTATTAAAGAAAAACAATCACCCTGATTTCCCTCCATTCCAGCTCAGTCTCCGACGTGAAGTTCGATGGCCAATCAAGATTTTCTTGGAAAACGGCGCAGATCCGAATCAGCCGTTCGAATATGGTTCCTCACCCTGGATAGAATTTTTGGGCGTGCTTAGGAAAGAATGTGACAATGGAAGCACTATTTTTCCTGAGGGAGGTTTGGAAACCTGCAAATTGTTTTTAGAATGCGGTGCAGATTGCCTAGTCAATGTGCATGGCGAAGGAGCAGAACAAATTATCAAACGATGGCTTGAAGAAAGGCATCCGACAGAGGCTGAAGAGCTTTTAAAGCTGCTGCGGCGGAAGCTCCGTTCTGCTCGGATGACTGTCCAATTCGGAAAGTTTCAGGGACATATCAAGAGAATCTCGACCTTCGGCTGGAGTTCCTCGAGGTAAATCGGCTCTGATAGTCAATTTCTGGGGCTTCAATCATCCTTGTGGATATGAGCTGCTCCAACCTTTCCTGAAACTGTGAAAGGATGCAAAATTGGCCAACGAGTTCCCCACGAGAGTCAAATATGCCTCGAAATGTTCTTTGGCAGACCGAACTGAACACAGTCGTCCTGATGGAAGCAAAACGTTTCTTTATCCAATCTAGTTAAGGCGTCCCGGGCACCGTTTTCTCTTGTCCACGTAGTTCTTCAATTCAGCTATTGTGCTTCATGCAACCTCCAGCTGGATGTCAAAGCCGGCCGTAGTATCTGCCATCATCAAAGGAATCTAAACCATTGTCACTTGCGAGGAGACAGGCACTGCCATGTAGCCTTTGTCTTTCACATGACACCAGTCCTGTGTTGGGCCTGGAACAACCGAGACTCCTTGGAATCAATCAACAACTCAACAAGAAATCGACTGTAGGTTTTGGTTTTCTTTGTACTGTCAACTGTGACTATGCTGGAGTTCAAAGACGAGATGGAAAAGTCTTAGCTCAAAGCCACCGTTGTCTGTCCTGTTCGTCTACATTCCTTGGAGAACAACACTAGCTCTTTTGCAGTTTGGAACATTGACTTGACAAGGACAGACAAGGGGATGTGGCGAAATGATTGTGGTGATTGTTTACGTGGATATTAGAACTGACTTGGGGGACATTGTCTGACATTGCCGCTGCCCTTTAGCCGGTGGCATTGGCTTACCGTAGATGGGGACTAGTGGGAGAAAGGATACGGCTAGTGACCAAGGAAAATCGGCGCTATCGTGAAGTAAACCGGAAATTAGGTGGAAGTTGACTGCTGAAAGACTTGAAGAAAAGATAGGTAGATTTGAATTTTCTCGTGAGGTTGTAATGCTGCCCGACAGTCCTTCAGAACGTCAAGGCAGACGGCGTAACACACTCGACCGCAGCAAGACCGAATTATTCTCGATTCCCTCCCAAAATTCCACCCCACTCTAATCCCTTCCCAAAGCGAAAAAAAGCAAGAGCAATCCGAGAGACTACGAGAGCCATGGCATACATCACTCCCGGATATCTTACACCCACCCACGTTTCCGATGTCTTTGCTAACACTACCCGACGCTGCCCCCCATGCACCGTGACAGCAATTCAGATTCCTGGAAGATATAGGATATAGCGACGGCGCGCCTTGTTTCGGAAGGCGGCTTTCCTTCATTTCTCCCTTTCATTAGACGCCGAAAACTCCGCATGTATAGCTTCTCCTCTCGATGGAGGAGGCCTTTGGAACTGGGACGAACACGCTGCTCGCTGGAATAATTTGTCTTGACGTTAGATCGCTATTCAACGGCCAACGACCGCTAATCACCGCCTGGTGTGGATATCGTAAATGAAGAGGTTGTGACTCCATGGCGGGAGCTTCTTGTCCCGCTCATACAGATATCCGCAATTGTGGCAGAGGGACTACAGTAGTCATTAGCAAAATTCGAAGAAAGAAATAGACATGTTTAATATAACGGCTTACCCTTGGCCCATTGGGTCCGTCCCGCACAGCCCAAACTGCTGAGCCGTGCACCAGACAATGCGAGCAACGCCAGTTGTTGCGTTCCCTAAAAGCAGTCAGTACCAGCCACTACTCTGCCAATTTCAGCATTGGAAGTCGTCGCGAACTCACCATTCCTGCAGACCGCCTCCCTGGCCACCATATCCACCGTTGGTATCTGGCGTTCCTCTGCCTTCCGGGCTCAGGGACCTAAATCTCCTCTTCTTCTTACTCCTTTCGCCACGACCCATCCTTTCTTCTGGTTCCGCGAAAAAGTCGCTTTGTCCTTGAGGTATACCTCCCTGCATGTTGGACGTGCTGCTGAATCTTGCAGTTTCGCGACGCAGACGCCGGATCTGGCGCTCGCGATCGCCCTCCCGCTTCTCGATCTCTTCTTTCGACAAGACCTCAACCTTTGGTTCCCACTCATCCGCGAGGTGTTCTTGATCGTAACGCCAACCAGCTTCAGCACCCTCAGCCGCATCATTGTCGATCTCATTGTATCCCAGCAAACCTCCGTTCTCACATGCTTCTTTCTTCAACCTCAAGACAGCTTCGTAGATGGCATGTGTCATTGCAGGCACCCACTCGCCTGCTAGGCCTAGATCCGCACATGTCTGCTTTGCAAAGACCTCTGCAAACCCAGGCGGGTGCAGTAACGACCACTCAAACTTATCGCTGTAGAGGCGGTTTAGGAGGTTGATGTTCAGGTTTATGGTGCAGCGATAGGTGTCATCCGGGTTGAGAACGTCATTGCTGGGTGGCAGGGGCGTGGCGGTTGCAGAAATTGTGGACCCGGTTTGGCCGACCGGCTGCGGTTGGGGCGTCTGCATGCCGTTGGTGAGCCTTGGCGTCGGAGGGAAGTTGGGAGCTGGAGTGGAAGATTGGTCGCGGGACTGGGAGAACACAGGTTGGATAGGTCTCGGGGTGGCCGGAGCATTCGCAATGGACGAAGTAATGTTGGCAGAGTGGAAGAGTGGGTGCATTGCTACACCAGCGTACTCTTCCAATTGCTGTCGGATCTGGCTGGCAATCTGTATGATGAGAGCAGGTTTCCGCTCGCTTGGAAAGTCCAGTTCTTCCACAAATACTTTGGCAAACTGGTCGGGCGTCATGAGCGCTTCATGCAGGTTCCAGAGAAAGGCATCCTTCAACCGATATGCTGGTGTGACGTCTGGTTGCTTGTAAGCAGGTAGACTCTCGTCAATGCCAAATTCTCGCGCATTGTTGGGCGTCGGAAGTGGAGCCTCCGGACGGAAAGGCTGAATGTCGAGATCTATGCGGATAGGAATGAGGGTGAGCGGCAGGTGCGACTGTATTTGGAGTTGCTTCTCTGTCCTTTCCTCCAATGTTAGCTTTCTGGCCAATTGGCCATGTCCAGAAAAAAAAAACCTACATCGCGCGCTTCGGCTTGCCCATCCATTCTCTCCATATTCCCTGCACTTCTGTGGGAGCTAGAAGCTCTTTGCCTAGCTGCGCGTCCACCATTTTGCCCGCAGCCGGGTCATCCTGCTGCCTTAAGCTCCTCAGCCCCGTTGGTCGCCGTCTGGGGCCCTCGCTGTCATCGAAATCGTCGTCGTCATAGCCATCTTCGGCGTAGTTTATGGCCGTCGTTCCACGCTTGGTTGTGCGCGCGGGTGGGAGTACGTTCGCTTGCGGGATGACGGGCTGGAGTAGCGAGTTGGCGTAGGTGCGGATGCGCGGAGCGTAGCTGGAGATAAAGGCCTGGGGCGGATTGGCCTTTGTGGTTATTGACGACATGGCGCAGGTGCGGGATGCGACGCGCGCGGTCCACTGAGTAGTCTGGAGAGACGCTGGGCGAACGTCGCTCGAGGTGCGGATGGGCGACGGTAGCTCATCCAACGGCGGTGTTGTCGCGAGTTGGTGGGGAGCAGAAGCCGTATGCGCCTTTGTGCGGGCGCGAATGCGGGAGATAGCGATGCGTGGAATGCGAGCTCGGTAGGTCGCGTCTTTTGGTGTCTTGGACAGACAAGGGCCGTTCTCCAGCCTTTCGCTTAGTCATGCTCCGAGCCTCCGCTCAACACCATGCCAAGCATCACCATGTTTCCGCTGCCTGTCACCACGGCTGGATCCGCCCTTCCGGGCCAGGTCACGCAAAACTATCCATGCCACCGAGCCGAAGCGAGCGAGCCTTGTGGAGCCCTGTCTCCGCCTCAAGCGCGCCCCCACCCCCCTGTTGAAGTCGGCGGCAAGCGGCGCTGCGGCACAGCGGTACGAGGTGTGATCCGCAATGTCACTACCCCGAAACACGGTTGGGCCAGGCAGCTGCCGGGCCTTGTCGCATAATCGTTTCTATTGTCGCCATTGTTCCACCCGCGCGGCTTTTGATCCATTGTCATTGGGTGAAGCCAACATTATTCTGCTGTTCATTGACAAATTTCTCATTGTTCACTTGTCATGTTTCAGGACCATGTTCTTCGCTCCATTTCTATATAAGACTTAATCCTTCTCTACCTCTGTGTCTTTTCTTCATTGCATTCTGCACCTTTCCTTACGAATCACGACACTTTTGAACCGCACATTCTCCCTAGCAGGCCTAGGAAATCGCTCCCTACCAACAAACGCGGCTTCTTCCAGTCATTAAAAACGAAACTTCAACACATCCAACTTGATACTTTGACCATCTCCATCATGGCCTCTCGCATTACGTTTTTCCTTGGAATCTTTGGCGCCCTGGCGTCGATCGCCAATGGCCATATGATCTTGAACACGCCACACCCTTACGGCCCGGAGACTCTCAACAACAGTCCTCTTGCTTCTTTCGCCGAGTTCCCATGCAAGCAGCGTCAGGGCGTCTACGCAGCTAGTAAGGGCGAGAATAAGTTTTCCGTGGGAGACTCGCAGTCCCTTACCTTCACCGGCAGTGCTGTCCATGGCGGCGGTAGCTGCCAAGTCAGTATCTCTATGGACAAGGAGCCCACTGCTTCTTCAACATTTAAGGTTATCCACTCTATTGTCGGTGGCTGCCCTGGGGTGGGTTCCTCTCCGTCCGACTTCAAGTTTTCGGTCCCAAAGGGCTTCCCTAACGGCGAGTTCGCGCTTGCTTGGACCTGGTTCAACCACATTGGTGCGAGAGAGTTCTACATGAACTGTGCGCCTATTACCGTTACTGGCGGTGCCGACGGCGAGGAGGGCAAGAAGTTTTTCAATTCTCTGCCTGACATGTACGTCACCAACCTGCCGGGCCAATCTGGAACCCGTGATACCGCCTGCGACTCCCCCGAAGGAAAGGATCTTACGTTTCCCAACCCGGGAGATTCAGTTGAAACTGTCGGCTCAGGTCCATTCGCTACACTGGCTCCTAGCTGTGGCCAGGTGGCCGGCAGCAGCAACGCTGGTACCGCGAACTCCAACGACGAGCCAGCTGCTCCGCAGGCGAGCTCTGCGGTCACCTCCCAGGCGGCTGCCTCTCCTGCTCCCACTCCCGCAGCTGGTCCGGCTCAAGGCAACACCCAGAGCTTCTCGACGGTCTACGTGACTGCTACTGTGACTACTCCCAAGACCTCTCAGTCGACAGCTGGCAGCGTTGGTGGTAGCTTCGCTGAAAGCGGTAGCTCTGGATCCACTGGAAGCGGCAGCTCCGGATCCACTGAAGGTGGTAGCTCCGATTCCACTTGCGGTAGCGACGGCACACTGGTGTGCAATGGCGAAGACAAGTTCGGAATCTGTGACCACGGCAAGATTGTGTGGAAGCCAGTTGCGTCAGGCACCAAGTGCAATAACGGCAAGATCATGAAGCGCGGACTGAGGTTTTACTATTAGACGCACGCATTAGACCGGTGCACAGCGACGCCAATTTCTCTACATGATGTATTTTCTTCTCTTGAACATCCTTTTACATGGTTGTTCATCTCACAAACCCAAGGTCTGCTCTGGTAGCAACAATCGGGTTACTCTTTGAACTTTCTTTAGATTGGTGGTCCTTGCATAGCATGGCGGCGTAAATGAATTTCCAACAATGTGATTTTTTCCTTTCAGACACAACAGTTCTTTCATTCTTAGTGGTTCTCAGTGAAATTTGATGCGGATGGTTTGTGAGTCTAGACCGTAGTACAGGTAAGAGCGAGTAGCTTTGCGTGACCTCGATTACCTCTCATCCGAGTCTTCCTTTGTCCAAGTGCGGAAGTCAATGGTTCTATTACTCATGATTTTTCACACTTAATAGATCTCAAAGGGGCAATCCGCCATGGCCGTGAACAAAGACAGTTCTCTCGTCTTAGCAGGAGGCGCACCCATCAAATTATTTCGTTGCCTACTTTGTACCGTAAAATCTTATATCTCCCGTCAACTCCACTCACTCATAACTTCGTACCTTTTTCAAGCCCATACACGCTTACCTGCCTGTGCATACAATTTGCAAAACTAGATTGCACATCCACACACGCTCTCTGACTCTTTCAGATTCTTTTATCCTCGCAGTTTTACTTATTCACCTTCTCGACTCGCAGCGGAGTTTGCAACCGGCGCGGCACCTTGTTGGGACGCCTTGCTGGGTCGCTGTGCAAGGCCACGAGTAATATAGTAAGCATCAGTTTCATCCAAGCACTCTACAAAATAAAAAAAAAATTACTGTCTTATTTCGAGTAACCTCTATATCATATCCCCTGCGCTGCCCAAAGCGAGACATGCTTTTCTTTCCTCATGCATTGCTTAACAATCAACAGGATCACATTTGAACCGCGATATCCAGCACCACTGCCACAAATATCACGAAACACACCAACAAATATATATCCAGACCTGACTACGAAATGGCCCCAGGAAAAGAAAACGACACTACCTCTCAGCCCCAGGACATAAATGCCAGTGGCACGCCCACCACAGATAACGACAAGTCGCAACGTGGTGGTATATATGCCAGTAAATGGGCCAGGCAAAAAGAGGAAGGAGGCAAGAATGTACAAAGTGAAGAAAACAAAAAGACACAGACCGACGTAGAGGGAAAACAGGAAGAACAAAGAACTGCCTCGGAAGAAGTTGCTGAATCCTCAGTCAACCCAGCTGAAGGACCCGACGCAAGCAATGACGAGATCACTGCGCGTCGCGAACAAGAAAAGGCGGATTTTGAGCTTGCAAAAAAGCTCCAACAATCTTGGGATGACCGCCAAAATGACCCAAATGCGATGGACCTTGACAGCCCACCGCTGTACCAAAACACTGGGACGGAGCATCAAGATGATCCAGACGCGATTGACATTGATTCAAACGGCGCAAATGCCACACCATCTGACAGCGGTCCCACAACCAACCAACAACAGAAAGAACAATGGTTTCTGTGCGACAAATGCCACATCCCGCGAGCGCAGAGCTGCGTCCCATCACAAGAGCACTTCCTCACGGATGAGAATGGCGCGTACTTGCCACTTTGCCTTTACTGCTGGGAGCGGAATTTTGATGACATTGGAAGCCAAAAACGCTGGTGCAAAATTGGGGGACATGAGGAATATCGTGCTGACTTTTCGGGTGGCGGTGAAATGGAGGATGATGCTTGCTTTGAATGCATCAAATTGAGGCAAGAAGCCATCGAGAGAGAGAGGTTGACACAACCAGGAACCACTTCGCCCTCTCAAACTCTGCCAGAAATGGATACGCTGCCCCCCGAGTCGATTCCTAAGGCCTCGCCGCCCGATGAAGGTCTTTCGGAGAATAATCAGCTCCAGGGGGACGATAAACCACATCCCCAAGGAGATGACAAGACACCTTCCCAAGAGAATGATCAAACACCCCCCCAAGGGAACGACAAAGCCATCCAACCATCTCTTTCCATATCCCCTCCCACAACACCTTCACCATCAAGTCTTCAAGTACCTCCCGAAACCCTGCCTTCCACGCCACGAGGGTCCACAGCCGAGGGTCCGGGTGTCAGTTTTCAGGCGCCGTCCAACCAGCCGCCCCAGAGCGACGATATGCTAGTCAACGTAGCATCGCCCAACGGAACATCGCAGCAGATTGGATTCAACGACAACGCCCCGAATGTTGCACGACCGGAAGTGCCCAAAACTTCCACTTTGCCTAAGTCTGATGTTGGTAAGACGCCGATTCGGTCGGAACACAATAGGAGGGTGTTATCGCCAAGCCTACCGGAAATCTCTGAGGACGACTCGGAAGTGGAAGAGAGCGCAGAAGAGCAAAGACGGTTGCCTCAGCCGAACATAAAGCGAGGACCAAAGGACGGCAGCATTTGGACGAAAGAACGGAAAGAGCTGGTGGCTTCGCAGCTAAGTCCCAAACAGAGGAGAGACGGTGCAGGTCAAAGCCGAAGAAAACGCATGGAGCAAATTCACAGAGAGGTTAGGGAGGCCAAGAATGGACCTCCAACGGAAGCCACTGACCGGGAAGCAACCAAAACGCCTGAAAATGAGACGATGACGATAAGGGTCGCGCAACACGTAGCGCAACAGAAAACGCCACATGAAAAGCATATGGACCATATCTATCATCAAGTTAAGGCGAAAGAGGCAGTGGTAATGTCAAGTCATTTTCTGGAGGAGAGTCCAGATGGCGGATCACTGCTCCCTGTATCCGACCCCAGCCAATGGAAGAAGAAGCTCGACAGAATGAAAAGTCGGCATGAGGCAGTTCTCCGAAAGCATTTTGGCTTCCCTGATGGAGGGTTGAGCAAACTACAACAGCTGCAACAGGCTCAACGCTTCGCAGAAGTGAGATTGGAAGCCATGATGATCTTTGCTGAGCATTGGGAGGAAGCAAGAAACAACCTGAAGAAAGTGACGAACGAAAGAGACCAGCTACTGATGAAAGAGAAGAAATGCCGGGAGTTGTTGCATGGCAAAGGAGGCAATCCTTCCCTATACAACATACTCAGGTTGGAGGATATCCACATTTTTGTCGCGCAAATGACATCGCGGTACGACGCAATTGCCATACAGGAGTTCAAAAACGACAGGGAGCTCCACGATCTCACCAAGCGCTACAGAGTCAAAAGTGAAGACAAGAATTTCAAAGACGGGGTGATTACGTTGAGGAGCAGGAGAGGAAGACTCCTTCGGTATTCTGGGCCTTCACCAAAAAACCAACGCTTTAGAGAATTGATGGAAGACACGGAACGCCGAATCGAAGTTGTGAGAAGAAGCCTGGCGAATTTTCTAGAGGTGTGCTGTAAATAGAAGCTGGAGAACGGAGGGATGCTCAGAGTTTTTGTTTTGATTGTCATTGGTGTTAATTGAGGAGGCACATGGATTAGGACTGTACATTAATAGATGCCACGTGTGTAGCTTGCTATGTCGTGGCGAAGCAAAAAAGTGCAGTCAAGCTCTGAGGTTGATGGTAGTGCCCGAGCGCCCAAGGTATTCAGGCAGATCCTCGGCTATACGCCCGATTGGGCAATCGACAAAGTTAAAGTCCAAGGTCGAACGTAGCAGATGTGCTGGGCAGAGGGAAGTGGGGCTCTTCGGACGAGATTTGTAGGAGCATGGCCCAACGCTTCGCTCAACTTGGACTTGGGGGCCACGACACAGCCCTACCGCGTGCCGGAGGCAATTTGTGCGCATGGAAGAGGTCTGGTGATGATGGAGTCAGCGTGGGATAAGCAGCGCAATGGAATGAATGGGTGGAAGACCCAGGGCGGAAGGAGCGCGTCAACGATATTCCGGGCGGTTGGGACCCTGGTGGTGCAGGCTCAGGGCTGCCTGCGCCACCTGCGCCACGGCGGATAGCGTCATCTGCTCAGCTGCCAACCTCTCCCGACGACTTGTGTGGGGGCCTAGATGATTCCTTTGCGCCCGACTAAACCGCTCCTCTTCCGCTGCTGACACCCTACAAAAAGCACGGCTGCCTCTTCTTCTTCTCCCACAAGAGAAGCAGCAACGATCATTCACCATGCCGTCCCTCAAGTTTCTATTCTTGCTCGTGGTCGCCGTGGTGCTCCTCTGCCCCACCCCCACCGCGGCCTTTGGAGCAGGCAACATCGCCTCCATCTCTAAAATCGAGGGGCACAACTGGCGTCATGGCGACATTGAGGATATGCTCAAGACCGTGGCCTGCCTGAAGGGTCATAAGTGGAGCTCCATGATGATCAAGCGCGTCTACTTCGGTAACTGGTTGCGCGACTACTCTCAAGCTGTCGACGTCGGCACCCTCAAGGGAGTCCAGAAAGACACGATTCGCATCCTGGTATGGATTCTGGCTTTTATGTCCTTTGGATATGCCACTGGCGAGTTTGAGGTCACAGAGGAGCGTCTTGGCGGTATGATTTTCTCTATGCTCAGCCTCGCCTCACATGATACTGATGCCATTCATAGTATACCGCGCCGAGGAGCACATCGACAACCCCAAGGTTTGCATTATCAAACATTCATCTGCGTTGACAGTCTCGCTGACATCTTCCACTCAGGGGTATGCCGATAACACCGACGCTAGACAATACGATCAACGCTTGAGAGGGCCAGTGTTACCTCAAGAGCTGGCTGTTGATCCCAACACTGGTACTAGCTTCTTTTCTTTTTATAGCTATACAAACTCACTGACACGCTCCAGGCATGAAAAATTACATTGCAAATGAAACGGGTGGATGGGCTACCAGCGCTGGTTACATTAGACACAGCTTTACCCGTGCCATCCACTACGGACGTGTCTACACACACGGTTCTAACAAGGGAAAAGAGGAGGACCTCTGCGAAGCCCTCAGATGCCTCGGCCAAGGTCTTCACTGCCTCGAGGATTTTGGAGCCCACACCAACTACACCGAGCTTGCTCTGCGGGAGCTGGGCTTCCACAACGTTTTCCCGCACACCGGAACTAACACCCAGATCAACCTTCGCGGCAAGCATGTGTTCCCTCTGGTCACCGGTACTTTCGGAGGCGTTGATTTCTTGCACTCGGTGCTTGGAGAGGCCAATGATCACTTTACTCAATCAGATGTCGACACCTCTGAACTTGGCGAATTGAACCAGACCCTGGCCAATGCTTCTACGCAAGACACCCGTTCGAGCGGTTCAGGAAATAACGCCGATGTTCTTGTTGATCTTCTCTCCAAGGTCCCTGGCACTTCTTCCCTGTGCAAGGAAGCTAAAAGCTTGCAAGCTACGTCTGATGCTCAAGCTGCGCAAAACGCCGGAGGTGCTCGCGGTTTTGACGATGGCTACAGTGCTTCCCGTGCGGGCGGACAGACTACGTTCGCCGCTCCTCCTGGCTCTGTTGGCGGCCCTCCAGGCCCTGGTGTCCCCGGCATGAACCCCAACTTTGACCCGCAGAGCATCATCCCCAAGATCTACCCGATCCTGGCTTTCCGCGACAAGGTCGTCCGTGCCATTTCGGGAGTCATTTCCAAAATCCCTGGTCTTGAGGCCTTAGTGGACAAGATTACGGAGCGAGTCACCATGTTTGTCTTTGCACTGTTGGCACCTTTCATCCAGCCCATCATCAAGGCGGTCTCTGCCTCGCTGAAGCAAGGATCTTCCTCCGTCATCGACGCTAGCGGCAAGTCACAGTATGAGCCCTGGACGAACCCCAATTGCGATGACCCAACGCACTCCATGCTCTCCAAAGACCACTTCTCCAACATCCTCAACGAGCCAGCCGGCCAGATCGCGGCCACGATCTTGCAATACGTTGCACCGCGCGTGATGTACGCGTGGGACCACCCTAATGTGCCAGTTGAGCAGGTCTTGGATGACGTTGTGCGCGTGTTCCACCACCCCGCCGCCCGCGACCACCACAACGAGGTGCACCAAAAGATGTTCGCCGTCGTCGAGCGCTGGGTGCAGGGTCGCTCGGACAAGGGCCACGGCCTCAACAACATCCTGAGCTCCGAGAGCGTACGCGAGGGCAAGAACCACGCCGGCGGCCAGAACCCTCACAACGGCCACGGTGGCCACTCCCATGGCCCGCCCAGCGCTAGCACATTCCCTGGCGCGGCCCCCGCCAGTGGTGGATTTGCCGGCTACGGCGGCAACAGTGGCGGTAATTCTAGCAGCGGTGGAGGTCTCCTCGGCAGCCTAGGCAGCTTAGGCGGCCTTGGCGGCAATAGCGGCGGTAGTTCCAGCGGCGGAGGCGGTCTTCTGGGCGGCCTCGGAGGCATGCTCGGCTCTAAGAGCCCACTCTCAGGTATCCTGGGAGGCAGTGGTAAGCGCGACGTGGACTCGCCTCCTCCGGCTGCGCACACTGCATCATTCCCCACGCCACCACCCCACACGGGCTCCTTCTCCACGCCGCCGCCAGCGCAGCACAGCGGGTACGGGCAGCCCGCCGCGCCGTTCCAACCCTACGGCGACGCATACGGCCAGCCGCCAGCGCACGGCTACCAGTACCAGCAGGACGCACCGCTGCCGCCGGGCCCGCCGCAGGCAAACCCCGCCGATCCGTATGCGTTCCCCAGCCAGTACCAGCAGGGCTGGCGCGACGAGGGGCCATATGGTGGTAGCGGAGCCGGCGGCCCTGGGTATGGTGCTGGTCCGGGACCGGGTGGCTATGGTTCTGGTTTGTATGACCAACAGCAGCAGCAGTGGGGACAGCCTCCGCAGCACGGCGGTGGGTGGGGACAGCAGCCGCCGGCGGGGCCTCCGCCGGGCGGGCATTGGGGCGGGCAGTATTGATTGAGTGCTAGGGAGGTAGGCAGGCAATGGATAGAATAGCGCGCGCGCGCGTGTGTGTGTGGTGGGGCGGGACGGGACGGGACGGACGGGACGGGACGAGCGGGCAACGCAGCCGTTTGGGAGTGGTTGGGGTATTGCGATAAGCAAATCACGTAGGGTAGGGGTAGTTTGGGATGATGATGCGGGCGCGTCGCGTCGGCCGCGTTTTACGAGCTCCATGACTTGGCATTGACTTGGCCGGCTGGCACCTGTCTGGAATAGTGAAGGGCGTTTCCGCATTCCATCATGTCAGCGACATGGACGTGCAGAAAGAAGCTACGCGACCCCCACGTCTCTCTTCCACCCCGCTCCCGCTGGCAGTAAAAGAGGAGTAGGTAGTTAGACTGTCCTAGGGTACGGTAGGCAACTACAGACTACAGATTACACCTCGACACGCGTACGCGCCATAGACAATTTATTTACTCGACCTCACTGCCCACACCCACCCACTCATGCCCGCGTCCGTCCCCACGTCCCCACGTGCCTACCTCAGTGCACTGTAGGTGATCCATCCATCGCATGACGGCGCGCACTCTCTCCCTGTCAACCACACCACACCACACATACACCACGTCCAACCCAGAGCATGAGCATGAGCATGAACATGAACACGAGCATGAACAATCTACCTAGAGCATGAGCATAAACGCACATGCACACGCACACGCCCCCTCCTCCCCTCCCCTCCACTCCACTATCGTACATACATAGTACCGTACCGACCTAATCTACAATGAATGAATGGTACCCACCTATCCACCAGGAGCGCGCGCGCACGCACGCCGACGCCAACGCCAGCGGGCAGCACGAACGGGCGCCCGCCCCAAGCACCCCGCAGGAGCCTCCCCCTCCCCCAGTGGTGGCCGGGTGACCTCACCTCACCAGCCCAGCCCAGCCCAGCCCAGCCCTACTCACGCACGCCCACGCGTGGCCACCTATGTAGCGCGTCCCTCTCCCCGGCCCCCGCTCGCCGACGACCGAGCAAGATTGATTGATTGATTGCGTGCGTTGATGCGTGCGTTGATGGACTGAAGCCGTGCTTGGACTTGGCTTTGGCTTTGGCTTTGGCTTTGGCTTTGGCCTCCTCTGCCCCTTCAATTCAATTCACTACGTGCCTTGTGCTCTTTGCTTTGCCTTCTTTTCTCATGTCTTTTTATGCGCTTTTTTGTCAGATGTCCATGTCTTTCTCGTGCCCTCGCCCCCACCGGAGGAGTCATGCGGATTGTTTATCAAAATGAGTGTATTAATTAGCCGTACTAGTAGTTAGTAAGTAGTAGTAGTAGTAGTAGTATAGTAGTTGGGGGTAGTAGAGTAGCAGCAGCTGTGCTGCAAGACTGCTGCGGCGTGCTGATGTATAGCACTGTATATCATTCCCAGGCCGTGTCCGTGTCCGTGTCCGTGTCCGTGTCCGACGCGTTTCCCCCTGCCCTGCCCTTTATCCTTTCCCTTTGCCTTCCTTTCCCTTGCTTGCCCTGATTCATTCGTCAACATGGACCACCACCACCGACGACAACGACAATAACAACCAGCTAACCAAGCCAGAGCAAAGGCGCCCACCCAAGCAACAGTAACAACAACAAGGTCCATCAACTTGCCCGCTTTTGCCGCCACATAGGCGGACAGACGAACAAAAACAACAACAATAACAACAACAACAACAACAACAACAACAACAACAACACACCAAAACAAAGACGAGTCCAAAGCTCCCAATCGACAGCCCGCTGAAAAAAACAAAAAAAAAAAAACAAAAAAAAAAAAAACAAAACCTCCAACCTAGACTAGGGAGCGGGAAAGGGAAAGAGGCTAGGGTGGGGGCAGCGCCGATGTTATTAGAATTATTACTGAAGCCGATATGCTTTTGTCCCGTCATCCGGTTGCCTCCGCCGGTGACGCATAAGGAGAGAGACGCCCGAGCGCGCTGCGCACATGCGCGCGCACACATAAGAAAAATGAACCGATGGAAATCAAGGAAAATTGGAACAAAAGAAAAATGGTCTCAAACCTGTCGCGTACCTACGGGTCCATGAACGAGGAAACACAGACAAAATAAGCAGTAAAAAATGAGACAAAAACGGTTCCAGAGACTGCCCTTTACACAAGAGAATGGGGAAATGGAAGAGAACGCCACCCGGTAAGGAAACCATAGGATGACAGTGATTAGGCCGATAATGGCGGGGATATAAAAAAAAAAAAGGAAAGAAATTGGGTTGCGACAAGACAAAACGCCTGACGCTAAAACGGCAGAATGGAAATATGACGGGTGGAACAGCAGCCAAAGGACAAAACGACCAGACCGACAGAGTAACAGCGGACGGATAGACGACGAAAACACGCTTTCTTCCGCGCCTTCTTTCCGAAAAGAAGAACAACCATAACCGAAAGCCAAGAAATGCGCGGGTCGGCTCGCCTCGTACGAAGCCGGGGTATATCCAGAGGCTAATTTTATGTTTCAACAGGGTGTATGTAGTGTGATGATGATTCAACGGGGGAAGAAAAGCGAGATATGTCGACTCCCGCCTAATCGAAGCGTGGCGCCATAAATGTTCCTATGCTGCAGCATGCCTGGTCACTTCACGCCTTGAAGTCGCCGGGCGTCTGGTTGGCGAAAATGTAGCTCTTCGGCTGCATGTCCTGCCTCTGCTGCTGCTGCAGCAGCTGCATTTGCTGCTGCATGTGTTGCTGTTGCTGCTGCTGCTGCTGCCTCGCGGCAAACTGTCCCTGGGATGGCCCTTGACCCGGCGGGGCATACTCATGGACGTAGAGTTCAGGCTGCATCGTCATAGACGAATGCATCGGGCCTGCCATGATGGACCCAGCGTCCTGTGCAAAGCTCATCGGGTGCTGCTTTTGGAACATTGACGGATCTTGCGCGAATTGCATTGGATGCGCCATTTGCAGCTCGCCCTCGGCATTGACCATGGGCACTTCGAACTGCAGCGGAAGCTCGTAGCCCTGGGAGAAGCCAGTTTCAGGGAGCGACGGGCGCCGCTGTGATTGATGCTGGATAATCGAGGGATCGTCCATGGGCGCTGGTTCTTCCGTCATCGGCGGCGGCGGCGGCGGCGGCGGCGGCGGAGGCACGAATGCGGATCGCGAGAAGCTCTGTTGAGTCGCGGGCGCGGATTGGGGCGGAGTGTCTCTGAAGATGGACCCATTGCTGATCCGGGCGCGATGGCTGTAAATTGATTGCGCCGGGTTTAGTGGGGTCTCGGGCGGCGACGCAGCGGAGGAGAAGCATGCGGCGGACGTGGGTGCCATGCTGTACACCACACCCGAGCCAGGTGCGCTGGTGTAATCTCCTGCTGTGTTGGCATTGCTTCTGTTGCCAGCTGCAGGGCTCTGTTGCCAAGACGGGAAACGGCCGACTTCATTCGGCGTCAGAGGCGTCGGCGGCGCTAAAGACCCCGTTGTCATAGGTCCGTTCATGGACCCGCCCGCATACCCGGTGGTTTGCAGAGCGAATTTGGGTGACGCGGCTGCTTCGGCAAAAGAAAGGTGCATAGGAGATCGTTGCGCTGACCCAGGGTTGACCTTTTGGATGCGTCCGTTGACCAGACCAGTTGACCGAATCCTGCGCAGCGTCTGATCGGCCTTCAAGTTGTGATTCGAACCAGGAGAAGTAGGCATGCCAGCACTGTACGACTGGCTCCGCAAAGAAGCTGTGCCCAGGGCCGCAGGGCGAGGCCGTTGCCTCCGAGCAGCGATGCTGGACGGCTGATCGGGCTGCTTGAACTCCGCATCACTCGTTGGTCCCTGAATCTCAACGTTGCTCATAGAATGGGCCAAGGCAGCCGCGGGGGAATCCCGCCTGTTGAACGCTTCGTCGGCAAAGGTGAAAGGCTGGCTGAAATCGGCCTGGCTAATCTGGAGCATTTGCGGGTCGCTCGGGTCCGGGCCGGACGACATCAACGTCTGGCTCGAAGCGTTGCTTTGCTGGTACATGGGCGCCCTGAAAGGTTGCGGCATCCACTGCGAGTTGGACATCTGAGTCCCTGCCATGTTACTGCTTAGCGGGTCTTGAGACTCCTCGCGCTGGGTATATTGCGAGGCCAGCGGGTCATCAGGCCAGCCAGCTTGCACCGTCGCTGCCGACGTCGAGGAGCCACCTGCGGGTGGAGTCGCGTGGTTGTTCGAGTAGGGCGAAGCCTCGGTCGAGACGGAACCGCGGTTGTTGTCGGCGGTCAGCGAAGTCGGCGCGGAGGTAGCCAGCGCGTTGAAGTCGAGATGATCGGCCCCAAAGTCAAATGGCGCGTCGCTGAAGGGGTTGGAAGAACCGGGGAAATCGGAATAAGCGAATTGCGGCTCCTCGGGGATGGGCTGGGAGAGAGCAGAGGGATCAAAGCTCATGTACGGGTCGTTGACGGGAAGGCCGTGCGGAAAGGCACTCGCGTGGCTCGGGTCAATGGGATAACCGGCTCTGGCCAGAGAGTGCATCATTTCTTTATAGGAGGCCGTCGGCTGGGCGGATTCCGAGATGGACTGGAGGCCATGGCCGTGGTGAGTGAAATCCTGCGCCGAAGGAACCTGGACAGGAACCATGTCCTGGGGCGGGACGGCGAAGCCGTTTCCGGGTAGTGATGACGGGTTCATGTCGGTAGTGCCGTGGAAGAATGTTTGCAGCTGCGGCTGAGGGGGGTTTTGGATTTGGGGTGGCGGCTGTGCCTGAGGCAGGCCCTGGGGAGGCTGCATTTGAGCGTGGGCTGGCATCTGCTGTAGCATGTTTACATTCATGTTGTACTGTGACATCTGCTTCTTCAAGTCCTGCTTGACCTTGGCGCGACGGTTCTGGAACCAGTTCTGGACGACGTCAGCGTGGCAGCCAATGACGCGCGCGCTCGACGTCGACTTACATTGATCTTGTCCAGCGGGACGCCCAAGGCATCGGCGAAGCCCTTTTTCGTGCTGGTCGTCGGCTTGTGCTGCTGCTGGAAGTGGGCCTCGAGGATGTCATGCTGCTCCTTGGTGAGGCGCGGCTTGACGTCCTGGACGACGGGGTGAGCGGGCGGAGCGGACATCTGGGGCGCGTGGGTGGGATCCGACGCCGAGGAGGGGTAGGGCGGAGGAGGCGGATGAGGTGGAGCAAACATGTCGAGTAGTGGGATGCGCGCGCGCTCAGGCTTAAAGGCGGCGGCACGGGGAGGAAGCGCGCCGTATCGGCGGCTGAGCGCGTGTGGGCGTCGTGGTGGGCGGGGACGGGGCGTGGGAACGAGCGACTGGAGTTGGAAGGCTTTGGACGGCGGTGCAGCGAGCGTGTGGGTTGAGGATGGGGGCAAGGATGGTTGGTGGGAGGGAGTCGAGGGAGGGCTTGGGAGGAGCGAGAGCAGCAGCAGCTCAGCTGGTACAGGCCCATTGGCCAGCTAAGACACGGCGGCTGGCTAAGAATAATCGCAGACGCATGAAAACGCATGCACCCAGCCAGTCATCCGACCGCGGTGCGCTGTCGACGGCTGCTCCCCCTGTGCCGCGGCCGGGAGCGCGCGCGCTTCCCCAGGGGCTGACGACGATCGCCGGTGATTGGACATGCGGCTGATCTACAAGGGGAAATTGCCCTCTGCCCGTTTCTCCGCCGCCTCCGATCCGCATGTCATGGCCTGCAGAAATAAGGGGGGGAGAGGGCCCTTCGTACCTTGCATGCGCGCCGATCGTCGTCAACACCCTTCCAACTTCCACTGTCCGAGTCCCCGAGTACCTGCGTGCTGCTGCTCCACGTCAGCCGTGCGCCGCCACGTCTGTGATGTATTGTGTAAGTCGACGCAAGGGACCTTGAGCATTCGCTGCCTGCACTGTAACACTTCTAGAAATCTACCCAAGCAGCACACTGTCGGCGATGCGCACCTTGATTAGCCTCTCGTCGTACCCCATCACCCGAACGCTCCGCATGTCGCGCACGATCCAGTCCGCCCCGGCTGCCTTCAGCTGATCAACACTGTGTGTTGTCGCCAGTGCCACCACCTTGAAACCCGCCGCCTTGCCAGCACGCACCCCCGCCGGTGCGTCCTCCAACACCAGCGTCGCTGCTGACGCCGGAATCCCCAGCTTCGAGTGGCCCAGCCGGTAGCACGCCGGGTCCGGCTTGCCCTCGTCCACATCTTCGGCCGTGACGAAATTCTTGGGCTGAGCTAGCTTCATAATCTCCAGCCAGCCCGTGGCCAGCGGCCGCGTGCCTGACGTAACTATGGCCCACGGTGCTCCCAACGCCTCAATCTGGTCAAGCAGCGCCCGGCTGCCAGGAACCTCCACCGCATCTTGACCAAACTCTTTCGGAATGAGTCCCTCAATGTGGGCGACGTCTGTTGCTTTGTGTAAATGTTTGCTCCCCAATCGGGAAAGAGGCCGCGACTAACACTCCATATTGGCCAGACTAGGATCATAGAGCTTGAGCGTGTCTATAGATCTCCGGCCATGCGATGAAGCCAGGATAACGTTCGGGTCCACGCCCAGCTGCTTTCCTATCCTGGTTGGTGCATGAGCCTGAGTCCTCGAGGCTGGGTCCAAGATGACGGGTCAACCCTACTTGTGCCAATGCTTGATGATCGCCTCTGTGGAATCGATCACCGTTCCGTCCAGATCGAAAAGCTTTGTGTTTGGTCAGCCTTGCCAAATAAAATGAGCTCATGGTCAGCCTTACTAGCCCGCCGAAAGTGTGCACTTCGGCCGGCGCCGAGAAATCTGCTTCTCCAGCCATTTGGAATTTTTTGAGACAAAGATTGAAAATCACCCAGCGGATGAGGTGACAGGGGGCTAAACAAACAACGAGATCTTAAAAATGCCCTGACGCACCACGTGGTTGAGGTCAGCCTAGAGCACAGTGGGAAACGTCACCGTCGGGCCGCCGAGGAGGCGGAGCGGATGCGTTGCTGAATAGAGCGAAGGTTCCGCTATCGGCCTCTGCGAAGAGCAAACGCCGAAGCTGGGCCGCCTTCTACATGCGTGACATAGTCGTGTCAACCTGCGTAAAATGTCAAATTTGAGACTTCATAACATCGCGGGACGTTTGACAGTATACCCTGGAGCGGAATTTTGTACTGTACGACGTTCCACGTGTGGCTCTTGAGGTTGTCTGTTCATGCATCTGTATGTCGCCGTGGCCAATCAGCATTGAACGTATTATCAGTTTTGCCGAAGCCCCGGCGAAATCTTGGCGCGCATCCCAAAATTTCCCAGCGATAACTAAGTCGAAGGCGGTGACAGAGCAAACATCTCACAACCACAACTGCATAATGAAGGTCGGAAGTAGGTACTTCCCGCCTGGCGCATTGCGAGATGGACCTAACCAAAGACAGAGCCAAAATCGAAGCGCGTTCCCGTGCGCCTGCGCCACAAGATTGAAAAGGCTTCGGCGAACAAGCAGCGCAAGCAGAAGAAGCTTGCCAAGCAGAACCCGGAATGGCGCTCGCGAGTCAAGAAGGACCCTGGCATTCCTAATCTATTCCCCTACAAGGACAAGCTTTTGGCCGAGATCGAGGAGAAGAAGAGGCTGAGGGAGGAAGAGAATGAAAAGAAGCGGGCCGAGGCGCGGGAGCGCAAACAAGAGAAGAAGGCCAAGGGTGAGACTGTAGAGGATGAAGAAGAGATGGAGGATGAGGATGCAGAGGATATGCTCAACTACGCCTCAGACGACGATGTTATGGACGAGGTATGCGTCTTTCTAAACTTTGCTGAGATGCTTGCTGATTGCAAACGCAGGACAACTCCAACCCCATGGCCGCCCTTCTCGCCTCTGCGAGGGCCCGCGCAGCAGAGTACGAAGAGGACCACGAAGACGAAGAAATGGACGAGGACGAAGAGGGGTGGAATGGAATGGGCGACGACGATGGAGGCATGGGATCCTCCGCAGTGCGCAAGGACACATCAAGAAAAGCCTTCGACAAAGTCTTCAAACAGGTCGTGGAGCAATCGGACGTCATCCTTTACGTTTTGGATGCGCGCGACCCCGAGGGCACAAGATCAAAGGAGGTGGAGCGTTCAGTCATGGCGGCCGAGGGAGGCAACAAGCGCCTCATCTTGATCTTGAACAAGATCGACCTGATCCCGCCCCCGATTCTCAAGGGTTGGCTTACGCACCTCCGCCGCTACTTCCCTACGCTTCCCCTTCGCGCTTCTAACCCGGCGCCGAACGCAAAGACTTTTGACCACAAGCAGCTCACCGTCAAGGGAACTTCCGAGGCGCTTTTCAAGGCGCTGAAGTCTTATGCGCAGTCTAAGCAATTGAAGAGGTCTGTTTCTGTTGGTGTCATCGGCTATCCCAACGTGGGCAAGTCTTCTGTCATCAACGCCTTGACTTCGAGGTTGGGTGGCAGGGGCTCAGCTTGCCCTACCGGTGCCGAGGCTGGCGTCACCACCAACTTGCGTGAAGTCAAGCTCGACAACAAACTCAAGCTTGTCGATTCCCCCGGTATCGTCTTCCCCAGCACGGCCGACAAGGCTCAGAAGGCCGAGGAGCAAGCCCGCCTTATCTTGCTCAACGCCGTGCCTCCCAAGGAAATCGACGACCCTGTGCCGGCCGTCACTCTTCTGTTGAAGAGGCTGTCGGCTTCCGAAGACATGTTCAACAAGCTGCTTCAAGTCTACCAGGTCCCGGCGCTCATGGGCATGAACGGCGACCTCACGACCGACTTCCTTGTCCAAGTTGCAAGGAAGCGTGGTCGTCTGGGCAAGGGTGGTGTGCCCAACTTGCATAGCGCCGCGCAGACGGTCATCACGGACTGGAGGGATGGCAGGATCCAGGGCTGGATGGATGCTCCTGTGCTGCAGGTCGCTACTGCCCCCGCTCCCGGCGCTCCGCAGGATGCTGCGGCGCCAGTTGGCGATCAGAAGGAGATTGTCAAGGAGTGGGCGGCCGAGTTTAAGCTGGATGGTCTGTGGGGCGATAATGAGAATACCCAAGGCGAGGAGGCTATGGAGGGCTAGATAGAAGCAAAAACAAAGGGCATGTTGGGGTGTTTGGCGCAATGGAGGGATTGTCATGTCTACGGGTAGGGAGCACTTTGACTAGCTAGGTAGTTCTGGGCGGCCAATGGGCGCCTGGTTGATGCAATTCGACAGCTTCTGACGGCTTGGTGCATGTGTTCACCCGCACGGACTCGACGGATTGCACATCCGAGCGGAGAAGCGGATGTCGACAATTGGCAGACGGCAGACGCCACGGGCGACGCCCGTCGAGGTGACAGCCAGTGAGTCGACAGTTGTGCGAAGAACGGCTGTACGTCTAGTGAGTAGCGGGGTCCAACGGTGTGTGGTGGAGGCGTGTGGGGACGAATGCGAGATCGGCCGCGGCGGAGCTATGGCCCACTTCTTTTAAGCCGAAACAAGCCGCATGGAGCTAGGGTGCCACCCGCCTGCAAAAGTTCAGCAGTACAAAACCATCTGCCAGAAGCTTCGCCTCTGCTCCTTGGCTGCTCTGAATCCTTCCCTTCGCAATCCGAGTCTGTCCTTCTGTGTCTCATTGCTGCAAACATGGCTTCTTCCAGAGGTGGTGTCCAGAGCTTCACTCAGCTCGCGACCCAATGCCCGCGGCCCCGCTTCCAGGCCGCGCAGCTTCGCAAGACTGCGAGGCCCATGGGCACGCTGGCCACTTTCAAGATCCCCAAGATTGACAACGAGCCCAACGTATGTTTAGTCGTCTCAATGCCAGTCTGCCGGCCAATTGCTGATGCTCGCCACAGAAACACTATGCCAAGAACACCGTTGAGCGCCAGAAGCTCGCCGAGGCTCTGGAGAAGATGAAGAAGCAAGGCCCGCTCGACATCCCCGTCTTCATTGGCGGCAAGGAGGTATGAGATCTTCCGTCTTCATCTCCATCTCCATCCAAAGTCTAACAATGCCATCAGATCAAGGCCTCCTCTACCCAGTCCCAGTTCAACCCCTCCTCGCACGCCGATGCCGTCGCCAACTACTCCAATGCCACCGGTGCCCAGGTTATGTCTTCCATCGAATCTGCGCTGGAGGCGAAGCCGGCTTGGGAGAAGCTGCCCTTCGCTGACCGCGCCGCTGTCTTCCTGAAGGCCGCGGATCTCATTGCCACCAAGTACAGATACGACATCATGGCGGCCACCATGATTGGTCAGGGCAAGAACGCCTGGCAGGCCGAGATTGACGCCGCGGCCGAGCTGTGCGATTTCCTGAGGTTCAACGTCAAGTACGCTGAGGAGACCTACGCGGAGCAGCCCGTCCACAACGCCCCTGGCGTCTGGAACCGTGTCGAGTACCGTGCCCTCGAGGGTTTCGTCTATGCCGTCACTCCCTTCAACTTCACCGCCATCGCCGGCAACCTCCCCTGCGCCCCTGCGCTGATGGGTAACGTTGTCGTGTGGAAGCCTTCCCCGTCTGCCATGCTCTCCAACTGGTTGATGTACAAGATCCTGCTTGAGGCTGGTCTTCCTCCCAACGTCATCCAGTTCGTCCCTGGTGATGCTCAGGAGGTCACCAAGATTGTCCTTGGCCACCGCGAGTTCGCTGCCCTCCACTTCACCGGTAGCACTGCTGTCTTCCGCAGCCTCTACGGCCAGATTGCCTCCGGTGTTGCCGATGGCAAGTACCAGGGCTACCCCCGTATTGTTGGCGAGACTGGTGGCAAGAACTTCCACCTTGTCCACCCCAGCGCCAACGTTGACAACGCCGTCAAGCAGACCGTCCGTGGTGCCTTTGAGTTCCAGGGTCAAAAGTGCAGCGCTACCTCCCGCCTGTACGTCCCCGCTTCGCTCTGGCCCGAGTTTAAGGAGGGTCTCGCCAGGGAAACCGCGGCGCTCAAGATCGGCGAGCCTTCCGACTTCGCCAACTTCATCGGTCCTGTCATCCACGAGCCCTCTTTCAAGAAGCTTTCTGGCGTCATCGACGAGGCCAAGAACGACAAGGAGCTGGAGCTGGTTGTCGGCGGCAAGCACGACGGCAGCAAGGGCTACTTCATCCACCCGACTATCTACCGCACGACCAACCCCGCCCACCCTCTCCTGTCTCGTGAGCTCTTCGGTCCTGTTCTCGTCGCCTACGTCTACGATGACTCCGCGCCGGACGCATTCGCCAAGATCTGCAAGACCGTTGACACCACCACTGAGTATGCTCTGACCGGTGCCATCTTCGCCCAGGACAGGCAGGCCATCCGCTTCGCCGAGGAGGCGCTGAGGACTTCTGCTGGTAACTTCTACGTCAACTGCAAGAGCACCGGTGCCGTCGTTGGCCAGCAGCCCTTCGGTGGCGCCAGGGCCAGCGGCACCAACGACAAGGCTGGCAGCGCCACCCTGCTCAGCCGCTTCGTCAGCATGAGGGCGCTTAAGGAGGAGTTTGTCCCTATCGAGAAGGTTGAATACCCCAGCAACGAGAACTAAGAAAAGGCAAGTAGACGCCATTTGAGAAGGAATTGGTTTTATGAAGACCGCAGTCATTGTAGATGACAGTCGTTTCAGAGCATTGCGATCTTTTGTAAGGGCGTTTACAATGTAAAAACAGCCATTTAGTACGTTTTACGAATGAAAGACATGTACGCATCACGAGCCGAATAAATCTACAGCCATGAGATCCCGTCCGTCAGTCCACCCACCCTTGCGACCCCGACTAAACATCGGGGTAGAAATACTCGCCGTTTTCGAAATGCGTAGCATACTCGGCATTGGGCTGGGTGCCCTGGCTCAGGTCGGACACGCTCTGGCCCATCAGCCAGGAGACCATGTTCCCAAAGACGACGCCGCCGGCATCGTTGAGATGGGTGTTGTCGCCGCTCTCGAGATTGTAGGTATGTGCGTCATCGGGGCCGATGGCGTTGAGGTAGTCCACTGACGCTTGGTTGAGGTCGATGGAGGGCGTGCCGGTATTGGTGGCCACGGAAAGGGTCGCCTCGCGCTGATCCGTGAGGTCGGTCACGACGCGTGGAGGATCGGCAGAGTCGAAGCTACGGCGTGAGAGGGGCGTCACGAGCAGCTACATGGGCGGGTTAGGGCAGTCAGTAAGTTTGACGGGGGTAGCAGGAAAAGGGGGAGGGGGAGGGGAGCGGGATGAAAGGAAAGGAAAAGAAGACGCACAGCATGGGCGCCGACATCGCCCACTTCGGCAACGAAGCGCTCGAGGTTGGCGGTGTACTGCTCGAGGGAGACACCAGAGGAGGCTTTCTGGTCGTTGTGGCCGAACTGGGAGCAGGTGCGTAAGTATTGGCTCCTATTGCTTGTTTCGCGCCGGCCGCCTCCTCTCTGGTATGCATAAGTAGGTAGGCAGGCAGGCAGGTCTGCTTGCTCTACGCATCGTCCTTCTCACCGACACCAGCCAACCAACCAACTGAGCACCCAGCTCCCCACTCTCTCCCCAACAATGATCACCACCGCCGCC